GGCTATCCGCTGGCCTACGTGGCCGCCAAGCTGGCTCTGGGCCACGACCTGGTGAGCTTGCGCAACATGGTGACCCGGTCCACCACGGCCTGCTTCGAGCCGTCCCTGGACTACTGCGTGGTGAAGATGCCCCGCTGGGACATCGACAAGTTCCCCACGGTGGAGCGGACCCTGGGGACGCAGATGAAGTCCGTGGGCGAGGTGATGTCCATCGCGCGCTCCTTCCCCGAAGCCATGCAGAAGGCGCTGCGCATGGTCAACGAGGGCTCGGTGGGCTTTGACGAGAGTTGGTACCTCCGAGCGCGGGCGGGAGCGGCCGTGTCCAAGGACCATGGGACATTGGCACGTTACTCGTTTGCAGAGCTGTATAGAGGGTGCTTGCAAATATCAACATGTTTGCGCGTGTTCCTCAGTTTGTTTAGCCATCAATCTAGAGTTCTGAGTCATGCTATCGTTGCCACCCCTTGTGATGTTTGCCCTCCCATGCGTGTATGTTGGCCCTTGCTTTCAGTGATGCTTTGCGGTGGTTTCTGCTTTGATATTCCTCGCTTGAACTCTTTCAAATGGCGTGACCACGTTTTGGGCTAGGACCTTGAATTTGAACAGTCACCTTTGGGCAACCCACCAATAAACAAGATGAGTGAGGGTTCCCAATGAAGGAGAGGACCCAGTTGCACACGAGAAAATGCCCCCCCCCCCTCTCTGCAGGATGGCAACATCGAAGAGGAGTTGCAGAAGCCTGGGCCGCTGCGGATGTGGGCCATCGCGCATGCGTTTCAGCAGGGCTTCACGGTGGAGACCGTCCACGCGCTGACCAGGATCGACCGTTGGTTCCTGGGCAAGCTCTTCTCCGTCCATCAGGCGCGGAAGCGCATGGAGTCTCTGGGTAGCCTGGAGAAGCTGACAGAGGCCGGCCCAGAGTTCCTGAGGAGGATGAAGCAGCTGGGCTTCTGCGACCGGCAGATCGGCAAGGCGATCAAGGATTCGGACTTGGCGGTCATGCAGCTGCGAGCTGGCTGGCACATCAGGCGGGATGGTGGAGGGTTTTGCAACAAAGAATCAAGCACTGTTGCACTTTGCACGGTTTCATGTTTACCCCACCAAAATGTGTGAAGTGGTTGAGAATGACGTAAAGGGCCTTTGGCCCAATGCAACCTGACTGCTCGAGCCCATCCGCCGTGTCCAGCATTTGGTTTGCAAACATGTTGTCATGTACTGTACTCCCTTCGCGGGAAGCAGCTATTGACTGTTGTTTTCATGAGTCTGTTGGAGCTTGCAGAGCCTGTTGGAACTTGCAGCGCGGATTTGCTTCTGTGGCGTGCTCTTTGTTTGGCAGACAGGATCCCTCTTCTCCGCCAGGCCGTGTGTGAAGCAGGTGGACACGCTGGCTGCGGAGTTCCCAGCGCAGACGAACTACCTGTACCTGACCTACGTTGGGGAGGAGAACGACGTGGTGCCGCTGGGCAACGAGCAGCTGGCGGCGCACAAGGCCGCGCTGTACGACACGGCCTTCGGCAGCCGACTGGAGGAGAGCGGGTTCCAGCTGCCGGACAAGATGCATGCCCGGGCGTCCCCGTGCCAGAAGGCGAATGCCAGCCCCATGTGGAAGGGCAAGGCCAGCAAGCAAGAGCCGCCTCTGCTGGAGCTGGTGCCAAGCCAAAAGCCGGAGGTGCCGGCGTACATCGTGCTGGGCTCCGGGTGCTACCGGATCGGGGCCTCGGTGGAGTTCGACTGGAGCGCGGTGAGCGCGGTGAGGACCATCCGGCAGACCGGACACCGGGCCTTGGTGATCAACTGCAACCCGGAGACGGTGTCCACAGACTACGACGAGAGCGACCGCCTGTACTTCGAGGAGCTCACCTTGGAGACCGTGGCGGAGATCGTCCGCTTCGAGCAGCCAGAGGGCACCGTGGTGTCCGTGGGCGGGCAGACGCCCAACAACCTGGCGCCCAAGCTGGACCAGCTGGGCATCCGCATCCTGGGGACGGCGGCGGCCAACATCGACCGCGCCGAGGACCGGTCCAAGTTCTCCGCCATGTGCGACGAGCTGGGCATCGACCAGCCGGAGTGGTCCCAGTTCGTGCGGCTGGAGGAGGCCACGGACTTTGCTCGGCTGGTGGGGTACCCGGTGCTGGTCAGGCCCTCCTACGTGCTGTCCGGCGCCGCCATGCGGGTCATCGACGACGAGCAGCAGCTGAAGGGCTTCCTGGGCACTGCGGCCGTGGTGGAGCAGGAGTTCCCGGTGGTCATCTCCAAGTACGTGCAGGGTGCTCGAGAGATCGAGTTTGACGGCATCGGCCGCAACGGCCAGGTGATCAACTACGCCATCTCCGAGCATGTAGAGGATGCGGGGACCCACAGCGGCGACGCCACCCTGTTGCTGCCTGCCCAGCGTCTGCATTTGGAGACCCACCGGCGAGTGATGCACATCGCCAGCCAGCTGTGCAAGGCTCTGAACATCTCCGGCCCCTTCAACGTGCAGTTCATGGCACTGGAAGACTCTTGCTTCTCCATGAGGTCCGTGAAAGTCATCGAGTGCAACGTGCGAGCTTCTCGCACCGTGCCCTTTGTCTCCAAGACCTTCAACGTGAACTTCATCGAGCAGGCCACGCGCGTGATGCTGGGGCAGGAGGTGAGCAAGCAGAAGGTGTACGCCTACGACTTCGAGTTTGTGGCCTGCAAGGCGCCCATGTTCTCCTTCCTGCGGCTGAGCGGCGCGGACCCGCACCTGGGCGTGGAGATGCAGAGCACAGGCGAGGTGGCCTGCTTCGGGCACAACGCCCACGAGGCCTTCCTGAAGTCTTTGATCGCCAGCGGCGTGCAGATCTCCAAAATCTTCGAGCCCTGCGGCGTGCTGCTGGCGCTCAACCCCAAGGACAAGGCCGCCGTGGCGAAGTACCTGCCGCTCTTGGACGAGATGGGCTTCAAAATCTTCGCCACCCACGGCACGGCCTCCTTCTTGGAGGCCAGCAAGCCCCAGCGCAACGCCAACAACAGCGCCATCTGCGTCACGCCTCTGGCCAAAAGTGCCGACGGCGTCGTTTCCGCCATCACGGAGAAGACGGTGAAGCTGGTGATTTGCACGCCTTCCTCGCGGGATTCGGCAGGCCAGACGCCTGGCTACAAGATCCGCAGGAAAGCCCTGGAGACGGGCGCGTGCTTGATTGTGAACATGCAGCAGGCCCTGATGCTCATCGATGCCCTGTACGAGAAGTTCACCCTTGAGCGGCAGGGCAAGGACTTTTGGACCTTGGATTCCTGGCAGGAGTGCCATCGAATCGGCTAAAGAGCTGACTGATTTGTGAATTAGGCGGGTTTGACGGCGTGCCTCAGCACACCTTCTTTTGGATTTTCCGAACATGGACATTTTGTACAGTGAACAGGTTGGGGATAGATTTTGACAGATTCGCGACACTTTGCGGGTTGACAACGCCTCACCTCATCGTGGGAATCGTGTGAGTCGGCTGGAGGCCACGACTCTCTTACTCTCTTGGCAGCGTTCAGCTGCAGGCAACCTCGATTGCCAGACCCTTCACGCGGGTGGGGAAAAGCCCCTTGGAAAAACAAGTCAGGTTTGCGGCCGGTTTCTGCAGGGAAGCCCCCGGCCGCGAAGTCGGGCCGAGAAGCGCCACGCGTGCGACTTTCAGGCACTGGACAAGACCAAGACGCGGCAAGAAGCCGCGGAGGCGCAGGAGGCTCGGGGGGTGGGGAGCGTTTTTTTGTTTTTGGAGAGGGGGGGGGGAGTGAGGTGGTTGTTTGGGTGCCTGAGGATATTCTGGAAGGGCTTTCGTGTTGGGAGTTGGAAGGGTTTCTGGTCTGGGTTGATCTGTCGCAACCGATTCGGCTGGAATGGTGGATTTGACTTGAGTCCTGAATTCCCCCAAAATTGCTTGCTCACTGAGCCCCTGATGACACCGAAACGAAAGCCAACTCGGTTCAATGGAGTTCACACGAGTCCCTTGTTTGGAAGGTTCCCCACTGAACATGGAGTCATCTAGCTCAACTCACAATGTGCCAATCAATGATTCGACCGAACGGGCTGGGCAACTGAGAAAAGCTGTAACGGCGCTCGCTATTCTAGATTGAACCCCGAACACTATGCGCTGCCTCTGGGCGGGGGCAGGAAGTCGAGGGTCGTGGAAATGCAAGACCTGGACTATCAATCTTCCCTTAAACCTGGTGATTTCCCAACCTGCTCCCTCTAACTACCTTCAAACATGGGATATGGCCTCAAACACAGTAAAGCTCCTCAAAGATTCTGCCAAGGCTTCCAAACAGGATGTTGATTGGTTGTCATAAGATGCCGAAGAAACTAGCGTATTGGTTGTGTTGAGGTGCCGGGTAGACGCGAGGACTCGAAGCCGCGAAGATGCGAGATGCCGTGCGTCGGGTCGTCGGGGCGTCGAAAGTCTCTATGAGAAAACGCGAAGACGCGAAGACGCCAATTGCCAAGAATTGTCGAGGCGTCGAGGCGTCGGCCCAACTCAGGCACACATGCTCGCTTTAATCGTATAATGATTCAAGCAGAGTTTCGTGGAGGCGAAGTTTGATCTGAATTGCCATTTGCAATTCGAGTTTGAGTTATATACTTGCCGATTGGTTCCCCAAAAAAATGGAATTGGACTAAGTGGAAGCAGCGGCATGTATTTTGGACTTGTAAATGTGACACAACACGGACAGAGGTGACACGTACTCGTTTGGCTTGCAGAGGGACCATGACGCTCAGCCCTATTTATAAGAACAAAGGCACACATGATCTTTGCTCAGGCTCAAGCCGTTAACCACCCGGTGCCACATTCCCAGGCAGGACAATTATAATTGCTTCACAAGGGGTCGTGTAACCTCACCCGTGAAGGTTCCCCTTTATACCATTGGCCAACTGAGCTTCCAAATGGGATTGGTTTTACTGTTGTGGATTTTTTGGTTTTGTTTTCAGGTAGCCTGGAAGCGCTCCAATAGCAAAGCGGTACGCCAACGAGCTCATGGATCTGTTCGGGTTCATGATTGTTGCACGAACTTTGCAAATCAACCATTACGATATTGAAGACTTCGAGGATTTGCTGACCAACTTGCATAGGTTGGTTAAGTGCATACTGGCAAGTCATCCCGGAACGAATGCAGGGGTCGAGGATCCATTGCCACTCCTGAGGCTGAACTAGCTTGAAACATGTTAAAAGGGTACCTTTTTGGGGTGGTTTCTCCCAAACATATTCACAAACCAAGGCCACCCAGACCGAAACCGTGCCGGGCTGAGGGGCCCGGCTTTGCCGGGCGCCCGGGCTGGGTGCTGCCGCAGGCCACGGCAGGCGCGCAACCTGGCCCTTTCTTCTGCCAGGTCCTCTTTGTGTTTCGTAATTTTTGTCGTGTTCTTCCACTACTTTTCTTCTTTGGATGTTGTGTTTCGTCGTTTTTCTTCGGGACTTGACCGGTGGTTTTCCCTGGTGGTCCCCCCCAAACCAAAATCCGCCCACCGCCGCACCGCCGAAGCCCCGCTCGCTTCGGAGGCGGCGGCGCCTCCGTGGCCGAGGAGCACCGCCGCGCCGCGGAGTGGACGGCGCGCCTGGCCGCGGAGAACGCGCGCCGCGCAGGCGGAGGGCGGGCGCTGGGCGCTTGTCATCTGGCGCTCGGTGGGGGCTGCTAGTTGGGGTGGCGCTTGTTTTTTTCTTCTTTGTTTCCCCGGCGGGCCCTCTTGACTTTTTGGGTATTTTAAGTTTTTTGGGAGGATACCGAAAGGAAAGCCAGTCATTTCTGAGGTAGCCCCCACTTTGACATACCCAGTCAATGAGTTCTAGCCATTGTTAGAGCTTGAAGAACTGGTTTTTAACTACCTACCTGACATTGGGTGAGTGTGAAGTGCAACCCCTTGGTGCGCTTCATGTGGTGTTCCCTATCAACATTCATCTTTGGCGGGGAGGTGAGCTACAATCCAAACCCAGGTGCGACCACTGGCTCAATATGTATCACATCGATCCTTCGTGCTGCAAGTTAGGCTTTGCAAGCAATATGCCATCTCGGGCTGTGGTGGTGGGAAGTGGTGGTGGGAAGTGGTGGTGGGAAGTGGTGGTGGGAAGTGGTGGTGGGAAGTGGTGGAAAGTGAAAACCCAGTTGAAGGTCAGGCCCCAGCCTTTTAAATTTTATGTTTTAGGTCTGATTTTGACTTAGGGAGGAGGGCCGAAGAATCTTAGCGTTTAGCAAAGGTAAAAGTATTGAAACCTAGGAAGCATCGCATATTGGGCCTTGGTTGGTAACCAAAGACAAACTAGATTGAAGGTCCATCAAGTTTCAGTGCCATTGAACCAGCACAAACTCAAAACCAGCGCAGGGGTTCGCCAAGACTGGGGACTCCGAGGGTCTAAAGGCGACGGTACACTCAAGAAGGTGCTTTGGACTGGGAGTAGCTGGGTCGGTGGGCCGCTGAGTGAGCTGGCCAGACCATGGTCAGAGCCCTTCATGTTCAAAATTGCTTTCCGCGCTTCTAGGTCTTCCAAGAGTGTAAAGCCTCTTTTGCAGGCCGGGGGTTCCTTTCTGTGGCGCAAGTGGAACATCTTAACCATGCCCAAATCCACTGAACCTGCGAGACAGGTGGTGGAGACAGACGTGGGAATGGCAGCGGTTTTGAGATTCCTGTTTTCAGCGTGCATCCTGGGGCTAAAGATGCATTGTTGGCGCTCCTCTTCATGAGACTCTGGAGGAATCGTTCTTTGAAGGTTGAGAGACAGAGACGTGTTTGCGGATGTGACGTGCAACCCGCAAAGAACGCCTCGCCGTTGCGTGCGACGAATCAGTCCCGCTTGAGGCGCCGCTCGGAAGGCTCGGGCGCTGCATGCGGCCGGGGGCCCCGAAGAGCGCACCGGAGCGCGGCGTGAAAGGTGCAGGACTCTCGTGGGGAGCCACCACCAGTTTGGGATTTTGTTTTGAACTGGTGCTGAGTTGAGCCTCTTCCGAGCGCTGTCTTGTTTCCTGGTTTCTCTTGTGAATCTTCTTCACGGTTTATTGCGAGCTCCCCTGTTCTTTGTCGAGTTTCCTCAAGTTCTCGAGTTGCTTTCGACCGGCGCATTGATCCTGGGACGCGGTTTGCGGTTCTGTGCCGGGGGACTCGAGAAGATCGACATTTCCACTGAGCTCCTCTATCAGGAGACCTACTGGGCTCCAGAAAACACGCTGGAAGCCATTTGACTCACGGGGATCGGCTTGGCTCTCAAATTTTTAGTTTTCACCCGGGGTCTTCTCGCACAGCTGTGAGATGCTGTGTACCAAATTCGGCACCAACATCTCCAAGCGGCTTCTTCGGTTTACTGTCAAAGCCAAGGATCTATCGACAAAAAAAGCACACGCCACTGTTTTTAAATTAAATCTACATGCATGTTTTGTCAAACGCAATTGCTGAAGATGAACCTGAAGCCCCACAGGTCCTCCTCAATTCTGCCTGAAGTACAGTCACAGACCAGCCATGTGGGAACACCCAAAAGTGTGCCCGACCCTGCTTGGCGGCTTCCTTTTGGTTTCCCCACACGATTCTCCAAAAAGTTGGCCTTTCCAAAAATTCTTCCCTTTCGCGCCATCCAAAATGAGGGGAAGTCCACATCCAAAAAGGGCAGGGTGTCTTCTTTGAGTGGTATGCATCTATATATTATATATATATATATAATATTATCATACATGACTAAATGCTACTGCAGATGCTCACCCAGCATTCACCAGCCCTGAGATGCTGTGACCAGTCGTTTGTTCGATGACGGCACCTCCAAAGGTGGCAGTTTCATTGGAATCCATTGGAGGTGTCATGCTCCAGGTGATCTAAGTGTAAGTGTGTACATGCACATACCGAGGGTTCATCTCCCCTACTGCCACATTTCGAGCTGCATCACCTGCATCATTGTTGCGAATGCATCCATACAGAGCACTTCGCTTTGTACTCTGTATACGTCTGCTCAGTGTCACTTTTGTTTCATATAGAATATCAATATATATATATATACACATATTTATGTATGTATTAGGTATATATAGACATATGTGTATGCCACATATATATATATACACATATATATATATATATACACATATATATATATATATAGAGGTACGTTTTGGGACACTCGCCCGGCCACTTCAGTTTTGGACGTTCCCTCTCGCTAGGCCACCGAGGCGCCGCCCGAAGTGGCCAGCAAGGCTGACGCCGAGAAGGCGCCGGAGGCACTTGGGGCAGTCCCGTTTGACGCAATTTCGATGTGGTTGGTACTCTCAAAATTACTTGGGTCTTGGGTTTTGGCGATTTTTCTTTTATATAAACAGTTTTGGGAGTTTCTCAACTTCTTGGTTGGGATTTAAGGGGAAACCGCAAGGGCACCAACCATTGTTGAGTAGCACGGCTTGCAAATGACTCTCAAAATAGCCCAGATGAAGTCACTCCACAAACACTGGGATAGCTACACCATGTATGTGGTTACACATATTTATAGATATACATATACATACACATAAAGTATATGTTTTTGCAGAAGGGTGGGTTCCCAACCAGTTGCTGAATCTACTTTTCAGTATCCCAATCAGCTGGGGCCTCTCCAATGCCAAAGCCTGGAAATTCTGAGGTCTCACATTCCCGAAATGGACATCCAGCTACAAGCCGGAAACAGTGATTTTTGGTTTTCCTTTCCCTGGATGGTCTGTACAAGCCGTTCATTTTGCGACCAACAAATTGGTTAAGTTTTTTGTCGTGTCGGTAGGACCCTAGGTTCATGGTATCTGGCTAGCACGGTGCAAGTAAACGAGCAGATGCTACAGCTAGCACTTCAGTAACTGGCAGCTTTCCAACCATCAGCCTGTTGTACTTTTGGGTGCATGGGTTCGTCCTAACCTTCATGCCTTTTCAACGCGAAACTTTTGTCTTTTTCTTACTTCTGCAGGATAATTGTCGCTGGGAAGATCATTTAGTGTTAAACACCATTCGGGACTTGTTTGGTCCATCTACTCCAAAAGCGCATGTCCAGTGACAATCACCAGTGCTTCAATCAGGACAATGCTTTGTCAACGGCGAAAGTACATGTCGCGGTTTCCAAGCTCAAGGTTTTTAAGGGTTATTCAGCGGAAGTTGTCAGGAGCCTGCACAAGTTATCGTGCGTAGCCGTACTTTGCCGCAAGCGGCCGGCCGCAGTGACACCCGTCCTGCGCCTTCTGGTTGGTCCTTAAGGTCGAAGGACTGGTCCAAGTCAAGGAGGGACAGTTGCCGGCAACAGAGTACCAGGCTGCAGCAGCCCAGAATTCCATTTAAAAGAGCATCGTCCGATGACCAAGAATTCCACGAGGTGTCGCGGTTTGTGTTTGTCCGCTTTTGGTTTTGGGGTTTTCAACACGCAGCGCACCCCTGTTACTTGGAGCCAGGTGAGGAAGCCGCCTCAGAAGAGCAGCGTCTACTTGCACGGCCAGGGGCCCAGTGCCCGGTACGCCTGACGGGGGTTTTGCGGCAGCTGGCTTATGAATTTTCAATAGGGAGCCACCTCAAAAGTTGGTGGTGGACATGAATCCCCACAACAATCATTTCAACCAATAATGATGTGCCACAATGAGCCCCACATCAGAATTCAAACCCTGATGCACTTCGATCCCTGTATGCGTCTTGCGGGGATCTCCCAACCCAGGAGACTAGAAGGGCCCAAAAGAGACGCGCGTCCCAGGAACAGTTGTTTGACTTTGGAAAGCTTCTTGCATCCGTCACCTTCGAACAAAATTTAGCTTGAATGTTTTGAAGAAAGGCAACTTGCTCTAAACACGGCGGATCAGTTGGAAAAAACATTTCCAAGATAATTTCAAAGTGTTGAGAACTTTGGGGGGACTCCTTTCAGGGCTGTCCAAGGGAGGCTTCCAGTTTGGGTGGTGTGATCAGACAGAAACCGTTGCCAGCCTTTATGTAGCGTCTGCATGGAAAGAGGGGACGTCGGTTCAGCCCCTTCCAAAGCTGACGGCGATTCGAATCACCAAAGGGGAGGTGGCCATACTTTGGCATTGCAACGTGTTGCCCCGGTTGGTAAGGGCGGCTACTTTGGGTGCAATGCCATTGACCCGAGGGTGGTCCAATGTAAGGTCAGGCACAAAATACCGTTTGACACCTCCAGACACCGTTTGACGTGGGTTTGTGGAAACCCCTTCCGAGAACTTATATGGGGGGCGTTGCCTGGTTGTATGGTGGTTACGGTAAGGCCTATATCAACCTTGATACCAAAAGCTCGGGCTTTGGGCGCTGCTCACAAGGCTTTTTGGAACACTTTTGCCAACACTTCAGTCATTGTCCTTTTTCTCGTGCCTTCGAGCAACCTGCAGGTGGAAGTCCCGCAAAAAACGTTCACCTTGTTTGGCATTTGGTTTGTACCCTTGGAATTCCGTCGTTTCTCCAAAAGCTCCACTAGGTCCAAGGATGGGCCAACTGTTCCCCATGTTCGAGCCAGCCTAAGGTTCAACGACCTGGTTGCCCTTAGAGGCCGAGCTGGGTTTGGTAGCCGCAAGGCCCCGTGGGCACCGGCAAGACCATGCTCATGAACTTGTTCTACGAGGCCTCCCGCGAGGCGGGGGCCGATGGCTTGTGGCGGTTCCTGGGTAGCGGGGGCAGGGGGTGGTTTGCAGCTTTCAGGCGGGTTCCAGGAGGTTCCGGGCTGTTGGGGATACCAACTGGGCTTGAGGTTTTGATTGTTGACAGGCACTTCTTACAACAAGGACGACACACCTCCAGATTTATGAAGGCACGCATAGGGGGGTTGACCCACTGTAGGTGACCGCTTTATTGCCACAGATCCTGATCAATCTGAAGCTGACATGTGTTTACCGACAGCTTCCCCAAATGAGGGAGAGAACTGTGACCAGCCATGGGTTCCACGAAGACGTCGTTTTCCAACTAGCAGAATGGTGCGGCGTTTTTGGCCCAAAAAGAGGACAACTGTCCTGAGACGGGGGCAAATAGACCGAATTTTGAAAATGGTTCGGTGTTTCCACTCCCAGCTGGAAAATATATGTACCAACTTGTCCTGCACTTTGGGCTGTCTCAGCAGCCCCATGTTTTGGCAGGCAGGGTGCAGAACGTTGCGGCGGCACTTCTATGAGTTCATGATGGGCGCGGAACCCGGTTAAAACCATTTTTGGATGGGGGACCTCTTTGGGTCACCCTGAGTCATTCCAACCCCTTCCAAGCCTTGCGAGGGTTCTCGTTCTAGCGGCCTTCAAGGGGTGGATTTCCTTGACTTGCTTGTTTGAAGGGCCCGCGGCGGAATGGTCCTCTTCCAAGCACTCCTTTTGTTGGGAGTGTGGTGAATGCTCGGCGCCGACTTCTCATGCAGGTGAAAAAGGCTTCCCTATGACTCAATCTATATTTTAGGCTGGTCCAGCGGCGTTGCTGGGTGCTCCGTTTCTTGCCGGTGTTCCTTCTCCATTTCTTCCAGGTGTTTTCCCAGGAGTCTTCTGACACAAGCTTCGAAGCTTTGAGGCTTGCATCGGCAGATCCACCAGATCCAAGAGGAGCGGCCTGTGGAGGCGGGGTGCGGGGTATGGGTGTGTCTGTTTTTGGCCCCCCGAAATAAATAAACAAAGCAAATACTGTAAAATAAATGAATAAGTTAAATGACCAAATAAATGTGGTTCTGCTTTTGGTTTTCCTTCGAAACCACAAGAAAGAGATACCCCCAAAAGAAGGCACTTTGCCCGTTGTAAAGGCAACACGGTGACAGGTTCTGGTGACATGTACAAGGCTTTGTGTATAGTGGTCGAGGCGGAGCATGTGCCGGCAGAAGGTTTTTCGAGCGGGCTAAAGTCCAAGCCTAAGGGCCCGATGCATTCCTTGGGGCAAGTCAACCACTTGCTGGAGCCCACAGTCATCTCATTAACCCAACTCCACGGGGTACGGATCCGACAAGATGTCGTTCCACACATCCGAGAAAAGTTTTATTGTGGTCTCTAATCTCTGAGGTTTCTCGGATTGACACAACATGGTCTTTAATCCCTTTGTGTGGTCTCTCTTTTTGGTGGCAGGCAGTTGTTGGTTGTTTTTGTCTGAAGGTAGGGAATTCTTTATTGTGTTTCTATCTTTGGTGACAGGGAGGTGCAGTGTCCGGCCCCGAGAAAGCCCTCGCCTCGCCGTCGTCGAGGCCTAGAGTTGCCAATGCCAAAGGCTCAAGTGCAGCCCGAAAAGCCGCCGCAGCCACGCCTGGATGTCGGCGGCGTAGACGCAAGGTAGCCTCTGGAAGATCCCTGCGAGCAAGTTGAAAGATCTTGCCGATACACTGTCCACAAACGGTCCAAAATGCGTTGCGGGCGGGTATCCACGTAGCCACCCGATGCGTTCTGAAAAAAGGCCCATTGGCTCCTTTGAATGCTTTTGGGGAGGGCTAACTCAAACATTTGTCCGAGCAAAGCTAAACTTTGGAGGTTGGCAAAAGAAGACGGCCATCCAGAAGAGGTCCCATCTAAAGCGGCCAACCGCCCATCCAATAGGCTCATTGATTTGGATACTTGCCTGGATTGGTTAAAAGGGATAGGAGGAAGCCGCATTTTTTTGTCAACAGGCCCCCTATGACCCATTTGGCCATGGGTCATAATCTATGCCTTTATTTTGGGGTGGATGAACACCAGGGCTTTGACCCACAGCCAACTGGGTTTCCTGATCAAGTTATCCTAGACACATTTTTTTGCAGGTGGCCGCGAATGCGTTGGCGGACGACATCGACGTGCTCTGCTTCGATGAGTTCCAGGTAGCGGACATCCAGGCGTTGGGGAACCCGGGGAACTCTACGGGCGCGTTTTCCTTTTTGCTTTTTCTGCGCTTTTCCTGTCGTTTCCAATTAAGACATGTTTCAGTCCAAAGGATGCCGTCATTTTGAGGCCAGTACTCAAGTGGATAATGTACAAGCAACCCTGCTAACCCCTTGGTTACCCCGGTCCAATTCCTCAAAGAACTTGCCTTGCCGTTTCATCTAACCAATTGCATGGTTAGGTTTTGGCGGTCGACAAATCAGTCGCCGGCGGCCTTCAGTAGGAAAGCAACAGGATTTGGGGAATGAATCTGGGGCTCCCATGGAGGGACAAAGGATGGTTCAGTTCGGGGTCCCAACTCATTCCCTGAGAGTCAGCAAGTTATGAAAGGCGGACAGCTCGACGGACTTGCAGCGATGCAACAGAGTTGCGGAGCACCCCTGGCATCCCATAGCTCTCAACTCCGACAGGATGCCGCGATCCTGCCTCGCCTCTTCGAGGCGGCAACTTTGCATGTCGAAACGGCGATGGAGAGGAGCCGAAGTGAGCGCCGAATGTTTGGGTAAGTCCGTGGTGACTTTCGAAATGCCAACCAGAAGAAGTCCCAATCAGGCATGGATATCTGTTTTTTTTTTCTCATTGATTCGAGTAAGCCTCTGTAGTACTAGGTGTCTCTTTGACGGCATCGAGTTGGGGATGTGGTCCGTTGCCAAGGACCAAGGGGGGCTAGGCATGCTTGTAGTATCCCGTTGTTTTTCTTCTTATTCTTTTTTCTTTCAAAAATTAGGTTCTTATCACTTGGAGGATGAGGATGGGCATGTGGGTGTTTCCTAGGATGAGGATGGGTGTTTTCCCTTTCAAGGCATTTCAAGGCCATGCAAATGAGACCCAGTCACTAGCACTCGGATGCGCATTCTCGCGGGAGCACGCAATCAGGCAGAGCCATACGATTTCCAATGACTCAGTGGCGCCTGACATGCTTCCTTGACATTTTGGTATGTTGCGGAGACTTCTTTAGAATGGATTGATATGAACCAACGCATCCTCATGTGCAATAGTGTGAAACTTTCAGTTGTCTTCCTACTTGGGTTGGGGCAGGCATGAACCCTTTTGGCAGGCGTGTAGCTTCTGGTTGCAACCACAAGGCCTCTTATCCAGATTGAAGCATGGAGTTTGACCCCCAAGGCTAGGCAGCTCGAAGCTGCCGTAGATCAAGGGACCCCCACGGCTCACCGTGAAGTGGACCCAAAGTGTTGGGACTCAACGGCCAATGCATTGTCCCCCTGCGTGGCGCAAGGAACAAGCAACTGGAGCCTGGGTTTGTTGGGAGTTGGCTCCGCCCTGTGAATGATTGGAGCTATTCTTGGCATCTTCAAAGAGAGCCACAATGTGAGGAAGGAATACTCCCAACCCGACATAGGTGCGGATATCCGCCGTATAATTCTTCACATCATGGACCATCCAAACACATTGACAGAGCTGGTGCAATAAGTTGGGGACCTTGGCGGAAGCCAAAAGGCTACCAACCAATCTGCTGGCCCATTTTCATCTAAGCAAACCCCGAATTTCGAACAAACAGTTTCACTGGGTCTCATCTCCAAATGGGCAAACCATCAAAATTGGCAGCAGCCCTTTACCCCCTCCTCCCCCCCTAAAAGGCATCCCGGGACAAACCCGCCCTGGGATTCCAACCATTCAAACGCGGGTCAATATTACCATTGACCGAAGGAGTGTCATCTAAGATGGGTTCACGATTTCAATGCAGTCTGTTGAAGCCTCGGGAGCCCCCTCGATTTGTCTGCAACGAAGGGAACATCCAGGTGCTTTTCCTGCGGGGCGTCACGGTGGCGCCGGCCTTAGCCCGGTGTGGCCCGAAAAGGGAACTTCCAACCATTCTTTCCAATCCGGAATCTTTTCAGAACACGGCCAAAAACATGCGAACTACCTGGGTTGTGGGGTTAACAGAATGGGGAATCAGCCCCAATGGGTGACACTTAGCCGTTTGTGGGAAAAGGGTGCAAGCATGGCTGCCGCGCTGCTGGGCTGTCAAACAAGCGCCACGCAACCTGTTTCCAAGTGGAGTGGAGGCCTTTCTTCGGGTTGCGATTTTCCAAAACCCCTGCCATTTTTGAACCGAGGCACGGGTCTTTTATTCTTTCTGGGCTTGGCGCTTTTTCTGCCATGTGTCGCTTTGTAGATCCAAGAGTAGTCCCAGGGGGGGGGGGGCATGTGTTATCCAACAGGGCTTCCTGTGCCTTGAGGGTTAGAAGTTCAAAGACCATGGGAGCATATCGAACTCGCTCGGGGTTTGGACCTTTCGAGCTGTGGGAAAGCACTATGGAGATGTTACTCCATAGGGGGAGTACCGCCCGGTTCTTTTTTGCTAGGTCAGGGCGAAACACTGAGGTTTTCCTCAACACTTCTGGTGGCTCATGAGGGGTTGGGTTGAGCTCTGACGGTTTCTAAGCTTGATCAAACTCAGAAGCTGTGGTTGTGTCCCTTTAACCTGCCGCTCGAGTGAGTTTGAACCTCATCCGGTCATGAGAGGCTTCCGCACGGCCACCACCAGCTCCGAAGAAATCAGAGAGGAGTGGAGCGTTGGGGCGGACTACACGTTCTCGAATGTGGTGTGACGATCTGACTTGAGCCGGCGATTGCCGAGCTTGATCAAGATCCCGAAGCATCATCGCTGTACGTTGTCGTCGCGAAGATGCGACCAGCAAGGGTGAGGCCAAATGCTTTGTCATCCACGATCTTTCCATCCTCTCCAAAATCAATTCACAGCCCACTACTCCGAATGGGTCTTTCGTCTTGCTGGGTTCGCTTTTCGGCAGTACCTAGGCCCATGTGAAGGGTTTCTCTCATTCCATGAAAGGGTCACCCAGCATGTTGCCTTGGGATGAATCGCAAGCTCTCAGCGCCCATCTGCGTCTTTTGGATTCCCAGTTTGCTCGAACAAATCTGGGAAATTCCGCTGGCAAATGAGTTTTCCGCGTCTTTTTCCGGAGGAACCCATCCATTTGGTTTCCCTGAGGTGATGACGACCAACACGGCGCCCCAGTTGCTCTATACCGGCCATGAGCCAAGAGGAGCTGAGAGGCTGAGACAAAGGGCGAGGGATTTTTGGTGCGGACGTCCCAATCTTTGGGAACCGTTTTCCGAATCTAACGAAGTTGGGGATGCACCCTGAGCGCATACCTTGTCGCGATGCCAGTGTTGGTTGATTGATTTGCGCTCTCTCTCTCTCTCTCTCGCTCTCTCTCTCGCTCTCTCCCTCCCCGTGTCCCTCCCACCCCTCTCTTTGTTTCATTTTGGTCTTGGCGTCTGGCTTTTGACATGTGGAGACTTGGGGAACCCTGCTTTTCCAGCTGCGCACCATGGCACAGTTCGGTTCCCAAATCGGGACCCCGAGTTGGACTAATGTTTGGGTTTCGCTTGCGGCTGTGGAAGGCAGCCTGATGTTGGTCCAGGCTGAGACAGCTGCTTTTCAGGAGGCCAGGTTTCTAGGCGACGCGTGCCTTGGAAAGAACTTTCAAGGAGGCACACCCCGGAAGACATTGGATTGCTGGTTCATCGGGGATGGTTCGTTCCCCTTTGCACGAGGACATCATCCAGCTTAGAGAGTTTTCTTGCTATTCGTGCAGTCCGCTGGATGAGCGCTCCCGCATAGAAAGCTTCGCACACGCATCGGATGCCGAACACGTCGGCCGCTTGGACGGCAGCGACACCACTTGCTTGAGACTTGACGTGTGGGATCGACCATCAGATGTTTCTGTACATGAGTGAAATTCAAGTGTGTCGATGTCCCTTCGGTTTCCCTTCAAACCTCCATGGCGTCCTTCCCCGCTCCCCACCCCGGTGTGGATGAGGCGGTCTCAACCGGCACGTGCACTTGCCAGCCTTTATTCGCCTCTTGGCCCGGCGCCCAGCCTTGCGCGCACAGCTGAACCTGGCCAATTTTGAAGTGGCTGTGGTCAAAACCAATAGTACCATTTTGGGGTAGGTGCACCACCCATTTTAGTCTATTTTACTGGGGATTGAGATGTTTACTGGGAGTACGGGATTTTGACCCATGGCCAAGTCACAGGGTCATGCTTTGCAGAGGAGCGAGGCCCAAAATGTCATTGGACTCTCCCTTTGGACTTCCGGGGCTCTGTGTCAAGTTGGAGGGGAGTACTCAATGAATTGAAGGGCTAATGAAGTCGCGCAAAACCCTTGTTTTGCCGGATACACCACCAATTCGAACTGGTGCGAAACGGATTTTGGCCATCCAAAGTAGAACCCAAGTGCACTGCTGACATGTGTTCTGCTTCAGACGCATTGCGCTGTTCAAAAAAGAGAGTGGAACTTGCCAATGAGAATAGCATGCAGCCAAGCCTAGTTCTTGTCATCGCGTGCAGTGCTCCCCGGGCACTCAGCGGCTAGTTTCGCCTGGATGTTGGGAACGTGCCGTGATCCATCCTGAAGATTGCTTGCCTCCCAATGTCCCTTGGACCCAAATGCCAATGCCGTGCGTTTCCCTTGACCCTCTCCTGGACTCGTGTTTCCGCTTTCCGCGGAGGCGGAGCATTGCACGGTGCTGGGCCTTGGGGCCAAGTCGGCCCGGGGCCTGGACCTCGCTTTGAGGCTTCGGCTGGAGACTTTGGACTCCCAACTCGGCGCCCGAGACCTGATTTGGTGGCTTATCCCAGTGGCCGTCGGAACATCACCTTCTGGGGCTATAGTCCAAAAAGGGGAGATCAAAAGATAGGCTTGGCTTTGGTCCACGCTCGAGCTGTGCGAAAGCCCATCTTGGACAAGGGCTTGGAATGGCTTGGAATGGCTTGGAATCGCAGCTTCTGGTACCCGGCTTCAGTTCGAAATCGACGTCAGGCCTGGTTTGAGACAGGCACTTCGGCAAGGTTTAAGGTGTGGACGTCCCGTAGTCCCGCAGGCTGCCTGCTCCTCCTCAAATTTGACGGCTGTCAAAGCATTGGTACAAGAGCACCCTTGTTGGCGGGGATCATTTAGACACATTCTGAGCCTCGGGTGAATCCGTTTGTTGGATGCCCTGACCCAAAAAGTCGGAACCCAGAGCAAGCCCTGGCCTACGTGCTCAGAAGACAGCCTGAATCGGGCGTATCGGGCTCGGGCACGGCTTCACGGCTGGTTTTCTGCTTCCACGGACCTTCCCTGGCACATGTCCAGAGCCATTCGAGGGGGTTCTTTTGGGTCCCGCTCGTTTTGGCCTTCGTTTTTGTTGTGTCCACCCACCAGCGAAGATCGCCTTTGTCTTTTCCCGATGTTTTCCCTTTAAACCACTACTGTAGTTAGTTAGAGGGGTGTTTTTTTGAGGATGTCATTTTTCTTTTCCATGCCCTCTGGGTGTGAGGGAAATGCCCACTGACCCTGTTGTTGGCACATCCACAAGGCCAAAGGAACCTTCTCATGGCAGCCGATCCAATTTTTGACCTAAGCGAGTTCCAGCCAGGTTCCAGGGCACTGCACTTCTGCAATTTAGGACAACCCCATTTGTTGGTCATGACTATACAGCGCATGGCCTTCGTCTCCAAATCCAAGCTAGGACATCCCTCGAAACGGCAACAGTTTCGACATCTACTTTCTACCCAACCTTCTTTTTTCTAGGGGAGAAGATGGGCTTCAGAATGGTTCGCAGCGGCTCCGGAAATAGTTTTCTGGAGGTTTCTGGGTCCTGGTCGCTTTTGGGGATATGACCCGGGCATTCTTTTTTGATTCCCATTTTTTTATTTTTTATTTGGGGGGGGGGCACCGGGGGCAGGCCCCTTGAACAAGAGGGATGTCTCCTCAACCCGTTTGGGCCCATTCCTCACTTCAAGCCTCCAAAACCCTGAGGTGGACTACCGCCGCAAAGCGGAAGCCGCTGAGCTCGCCGGGAGCGCAGAGTCGGTCCACCATTTCGCCCCTGAAAAAGTCCAACCACTGGAGCAATGTTTATACAGATATATATATATATATATATTTAACCTAACTATTATTTTCCCAAGTTTCAGAATTGGGTCAACCATGATTTTGAAGTTGATAGTCTTTTCAGGTTGGTTGAAAGCGGAACCAGCAAGAAAGTCACCTATAGTTTGACACATGCCCGTGTGGGTGTGGTCCCTTTTATTGCGAAGCCTTTTTGGGGACTGCGGGAGGGGTGGTTCAGGAATTAATTTGCTCTCGGGAGGATTCTTCCGATTGAGCTCATCCTCCGCCGGATGACTCCGAATTTCATATTCTGTGTTTGCCTCTCATGGGTGATTTCCCTTTGGTTTCTTTGCGAACTTCCCCGTGAGCGGTGCGGTGCTCGTGATCATCACCTGTTGGCAATGCCATTTTACTTTGTGAGTTTCTTTTGGGTGTTGGGTTTTTTGTTTCAAGGGGTAATGTTTGTCATACTGGTCCAAAGCATAGTAGTTTGGACGTGCCACACTTCCATTGGTTGTCTTGCTTTTGCGGCGAATCCCAGCCCTGCAGTACTTGTTTTTGCCTCTTAGGGGGCCATCCCTAGGTGTCTAGAGGTCGGGTAAGGGACGCTAGGACCAACACGTTTCTTTTTGTTTCGCCCGAAGTGCCGTGGACCCGGGCTTTTTAGCGTTTTCTAGGCCTTCGCTAGTAGCTGCTATTCAGACTGTAGTGCCCTCTTTCGGTTGCCAATCTGAAGTGAGTTTCCTAACTTCAGGTGATGTCTGAAGGGACAATTAGGGGCCCAGGTTTGAGTTGGCTTGAGGCTTGAGATGGGCTAACCATAGAGTAAGCAAGCCAACATCCCACCCTTCTGCAAGCCAGGGTATTGAACCACGGCCGAGGCACAAGCAATAAAGCAATCCCCCGAGCAACTGTCAACTCATTTTCTCAAAGCAAAGATCTTGGCTTCACCCAAACAACAACTGTTGTGTGTGTGTGTGTGCGCGTGCGTGCCCGCACGGTGTGAGTGACAAACCGACAATAGAAGCATCGATTCGTCATTTTCTCAAGTCGATAGCTCAATGGTTTAATTGAACATGAAATTGTCCATTCACGGCTGAAGAAATGCACATGACGTGTTGTGGCAATTGCGCATCTGCAGAAGATGAAAGGACAGACATCAAGAGGCAAGTCTGCGAAGAGCCTTTGCGCAGGGCGGTGATCAAAGTCAGTCGGGCAGCAGCGGCTTTATATAGCGCCTTTGGGAGCAGTGCCAAAGGATCCAGGGAGCGACGATGGCGTTGTTTGCATGGTGCATGATGCGACTCATGGAGTGGGCGTGAACAGCCACATGAAGGTCCGAGGCTGCCTGCCTTGCCCAAGAACTTGGAGCGGGTCTTCAGTGTGTATACGACATGGAAACTAACCTTTTGGGCAAACATCAACATGTCTAGTTCGCGTACACGTCTCTTTTTTTTTTCCCGAAAGGTAGGCAATCCCCATTTGGAGACAAGACATGCGGCGAGCCGAGGCGAGCGGCGCCGCGCGGGGCCGGGGCCCGAATTGGGGCAATCCCAGGGGGCTGTGTGGGGTGGGACTGCTCGGGCCTGGGTTCAGCCTGGTTGTGGGGCTCTTTGGCTTTACTAGCTTTGGCTTGGTTTTCAGTTTTGGGGTTGGTTTTGGCGGACTGGCTTTGTGTTGACTCGGCTTTGTATGTCTTGGTTTACGGGTGTTTGGGCTTGCCGCGCGCGGCAAGTGTGCGCTAAGAGCTATCGCAGGTAGGCTTGCAGCAGCTTTCAAGACATGCGCTTTCGACTGCGGGGGTTCCTCTGATGAACCCGGCTGTGATTATTATGTTTTTAGCATTCGCCCTTGGTGCATGACCATACCAAAAGGGGCGGCCCTGTGCAAGCGTGTACTGGTTTGGGGGAGTGCTAGGAAGTGCCGTGACGTTTCTTTGCAACCAGGCGTGTGTGGATCTCTGCCGTCAGGGGGCAATAAGGAAGCGGCGCATTTCAGAGCAAGAGCGTCCAGTGGCATTTTGGGGACTCAATGTTCAAAGCCTCAAGATTTGTCAACAGTCACACGGGTGGCTGGATGCAAAGAGTTCTTTTGCCCAAGCAAGGCCGTTTTCACTGCCTTGGGCGCACTTCTACGTTCAATGCTCTCATTGGCCTCTTGCAGTTTCCATCTGGCAATCCTTTTGTTAATTCCCGGATACCCGTCAGCTGCTCATTGAAGCCGCGGCTTTGGTCACTGAGATGCCTTTCTGGTGGGCGACAAGGGCTTGGAGCAGTTTGCCGCACGCTGGCGGGAGATGTTGGAAGAGGTGCGGACGATGGACGCCTGATCTGGTCCGATCGAGATCGAGATGAGGTGGATTGGTTGGAAGGCGGTTTTGGGAGCATTCCTGCGTCAGAACTAAGGGGCCCCAAGGTTCACCACGCTTTCAGGATATCCAGCACGCGATTGTGAGCCAGCGCCAAGGATCTTTCTTGAAACGCCCGCACAGGCGTGTGTCAAAATGAGTTTTCTGAAGCGCATCTCGTACAGGTGCGTCTCAAAGTGAGTGGACCCCTGAGTGTCTGGTATCCTTCTTATTTTCCCTTAGAACCATCCAAAAGAGGGTTCCCCGTTTGGAGACATAGCCATATGGGCGTATTGGCTGGTTTGCCGCATGCAGAACCTTCTGCCGTCTTTTCTGACCAAGGGCCAGCTTTCCACTTTAGTACTAGGTTGTGATTCTCACTCATTTGGTTGCGGGTCAAAACCAATGGTACCATTTTGGGGTAGGTGACACCACCCATTTTAGAACCTATTTTAGTGGTTGGATTGGGATGTTTCAGTGGGGGATATCCGGGCTGTTGACAGCCATTTGGAAAGAGACCTCGAGCTTTGCTCAGCCCTCGCAGGTGGGATTGCCGGAGGCCGAAGTGGTGCTGAAGCTGCCCATGGGCCCGGGGCCTCTGGAGAAGGTCGGAACGGAGCCCATGCAAAGCAGGACGAGCATGGCCGTGTCTCCCGCGCATTGTCCCTTGCAAGGGGTAAACCATGGGATTGTAGCGACCTGACCTTCCCGGCCAGGGTTTGCGACTTGAAACCAATGAAGGTTCCTTTCAATCGGCTTCCAGTAGTGCCCTTTTACCCTTTTTTGGGGGAGGGTTCCCGACCTAAAATAGACGACAGAAAAAAGGGCACCCTTATTCTAACCTCCCTACTGGAGGACCTAGTTGAGTTGTGTTGTCCATCGTCTTCTCCTTCCACGTTATGCCACAAACATAAGCCGTGCAAATGCATCATGCCAGTTGCTGCCAAGAGTGCGTTTTTTTTCTTCTGAACGAAGCGCACCTTCAACAACAAGGCAAGGAGCAAATGATCAGATTGAAGTTTTTCAGGCACCCGTCACTAACCACTCTTGCTGTACTTGGCTGTGTGGCAACCAGCTCAATTTCAGAGGTGGCTTGGCTCGTCAAAACGAAGCGCGGTGTCAACAAGCACCTGGTACAGGGGCGGATTTCGTCCATCCACGTTTGGGCTCCTGGCTGGTGGCTGCGTCAGGTCGCCAGCTGTCGATCCCCAAGGCGGCAGGCGGGGAGAAGAGGGGATGTCTCAAAGCGCATGGCGTCGCCATGGTTGGTTTCCCTTATGTGGGTGCGGATCTTAATAAGGGACAAAAAACAGTTGGCATCCTTTGCGTTTTTTGTGGTATCCCTTGGTATCGTTTTGGTGTTGCTTTGGCATCCCTTGGGTTCCCTTTGGTTTTTCTTTGGCATGCTTTTGGCTTTCGCTTGAATTGTAGCCCACCTTGGCCAGGGCACATTGTATTTAGAGGCTTCCTTGTTCTCCGTTCTTGCTCCAGGGCCAGGTGTGGGGAAGCCAGGCAGCTGGCAAGAAAAACGCGGCTGGGGCTAGCTGACTTTCCAAGGGTTACTCAGGGCACAAGGAACCAGGGGCTGTTGGACACATGCCCGGGCAGCCGCGCGGAGTCCAAGGGCAAGGGAGGCGAGGTGACTTTCCAAGGGCCACAGCGACCGCCGCGTGCTCGGCGCACAAGGAACAAGCTGTTGGACACACGCGTGCCCAGCCAGCCGCGGCCGCCGTGCCCGGGCAGCCGCGTTAGCTACAGCCGTAAGGGGTGGGGCTTGGCTTTCCAAGGGCCACAGACCGCCGCATTCTGGGGGCGGGCTGCTGTTGGACACACGCGTAGTGCCTTGGGAAATCGCCCGTTTAGTTTTGCGCAGCTTGTGTCATCTGGCGAGAGCAGTTTCCCTGGCGTGGCTGTTTGATGGATGTTTTTCGCTTGTGGCTTTTTGGCTTCTTGGCTTTCGGCTTCTTGACTTCTTGGCTTCTTGGCTTCTTGGCTTCTTGGCTTCTTGGCTTTTTGGCTTCTTGGCTTTTCGGCTTCTTGTTGCTTTATGCGGCTTTTGGTGGTAGCTTTTTGGCTTTAGCTTTTCGCATCCTCTGCATTCCCAGTTCCTCTTCAGCAGGTGGCGTTTTGGCTTTTCGCTGGTTTGCGCGGCTTTTGGCGGCTTTGGCTTTTCGCATCCTCTGCTTTCCCAGTTCTTCTCCGGGCGTTTTGGCTTTTGCGCCCTTTCATTAGTTTTTTGGATTTGGCTTCCCGCATCATCAGCATCACCAGTTTTCTCCCTATTTGAATCACCACTTCTCCGAACATCATGGGGGGGGCTCCCCCCCACCCACTTGCTACTTTTTAGATTGTTTGCAGGGTAATTGCACCCCTATGGGAATCAACACTTCTTCAAACATCCCCCCCCAACCCCACCGCTACTTTTTAGATTTCTTGCAGAGATTTAATTGCACCCCTATTTGAATCATCACTTTTTCGAGCGAGAAAATGTTGCACATTGTAAAATACGACTATGCAATCCATGTATGTCTGTATGTATGCACTTCTTCGAACATCATAGGGGAAGCCACCCCCGCCAACCCTCCCGCTGCCTTTTAAATTCTATCGCACCCGTTCTTGAATCATTGCACCCCTACTTGAATCATCACTTCTTCGAACATCATGGGGGGGGCTGCCCCCCCCCCCCCAACCCCTTCGCTAAGTTTTAGATTTTCTACAGAGATGTAATTGCACCCCTATTTGAATCATCACTTCTTTGAACATCATGGGGGGGGCTGCCGCCCCCCCCAACCCCCCCGCTACTTTTTAGACGTTTTGCAGAGCTATTCGAATCATCACTTCTGCAAACATCATGGGGAGGGCTGCCGCCCCCCTCAACCTTTTACAGGGATTGAAATGCCCTCCTATTTAAATCATCATTTTTTTGACCCCTCCAACCCGCCAGCTACTTTTTTATTCTGGTACCCACGATTTGCTGGTGATGCTAGGGATGTTGGTCGGACATGCGGGGGATGTTGAAAACGATGCTGGGGATGTTTTTTGTGAGAAAATGTTGTAAAATACGATACTCAACTGGCCCGGACGAAAAAACGAGAAAAAAACAAAAAACACACAATCCCAAAAAATCCGAAAAACAAATCCCAAAATAAATCCGCACTCTTAACTAGGTCCCCCAGTAGTGCCCTTTTCTCCCCTTTTTCGGGGGAGGGTTTTTCTCCTAAAAAAGTCTAGGGGTGCCCTTCTAAGCTCTCAAATCTGAGGACCCAATGCGCAGCCCAAAAGCCCGGGCTTCCGTGCGCTCGCTCGAGGCCCCGCTTGCAGCATCAGCTTCCAGGAGCTCTGCGAGGGCCACCGCGGCGAGGCACGAGCGAGCTGAGCGAGCCGCTGGTGACCGGGAGCGGCTTGGAGTCTGTGAGGTTTGTTGAGGTTTGTTGGTTTTCTGTAGCTTCGGTATATATTAAAGTGACCATACAAGAGTGAGACGGATTTTTGCCAGTCGTTGGGAGATACCCTCTTTCAATGGAAGTGCACGCGGAGTGAACAACTTCCATCATCCTAAGGTCTGCCCACTTCTATCATTGCACAAAGACGAGAACTGCCCCCCCATTCAGGGGGTTATTGGCATGCCGCTGATGCAACCCTTGTTGAGAACTTGTTGAATACCACTTGAGCCACAAATCAAAACCCGGCGGGGTCGCTTTCTCTTCCTGGTGCAAATAGGTGCGGACATCCGCCCTTTTGATTCTTTACGTTGTGTTTCGCGCATCCCCCCGTACCCGGTGTTGATCATGCTACTGATCATGACTCCCCTCCTTGGAAAGGCTAGGAGATTTCGAAAGGTACCTGACGCAAATGGAATCTGGATGTGCTTTAGCAACCAAACATCCAGATGCCACGGTATTTTGGACCAAGCAATAGGTAGTTCTATCTTGGTTGGGCCAAGATGGACACGAGAGGCGCTTGGTGGCAGGGGGGAGGTGGCCGATTAGGGAGAAGGCGAAACTCAAGCCATGAGCAAGCCACTTGTTGCATCCCCATGGTTCAGGTACACATTGAAAGAGCACAGAGGAAGTCGTACCATGTCACAAGAATCCCAATTTGTTTGTGAAGGGGACTTCGACCCTTAACAATCGGATGTCTGGTATGGAAGGGGTGGGAGGTTTTTTCCTATGTTCATTCCTAAGATCAAACAACAAAAGATCGTCGAGAACCGCCCTGACTCGGATGGCCTAGGTTTTTGTGTGATGCATGACTTGGCGACTTCAAAGTCTGGTCTTATCTGCTGAGATCAACGTCTTTTTGGCAGAGAATCAACTTCTGGCCTCAGTTGTCAGGGGACAAAGGGTATCGGCATTTCTGGTCTTTCGCCTTATGGGAGGCGCATGTCAGAGGCGCTCTGCCAAGCGCACACTCGAGGGCTAAAACCCGTGGGCCACGTCGAATGTTTGGGCCAAGATGGCTGAATCCCAATGGGCACTGAGGCGCTCTTGCAGCAGACAGCTACACTAAAGCCCGAACTGAGAATGTGATCGAGGCACTTTGTAAGCAAATTGAGTCGTAGGAGCCGACTCTGGCCACGCGCATTGCCGATTTTCCAAGAATGACCTCCTATGTTTAGATGGAACCAGTTTGTGTACATGAGTGTTCTGCGTGCAGGTGATGCGGTGCCAGCCACACACGGCATTTGATGCTGTTCTTACGCTTGGGAGAGCGCCTGGCTCTTGCTTCGTTCTGGAGTCCGCCAAGCGCGCTTCGTGGGGTTTGGACGTGTCAGAGGCGTCAATGTCAATTGCAGAACTCGTGGACAATTACCCTCTTTCCCACGAACATGGCACCTGAAAAGGGGTCCCAGCAAATTCATGGTACCCTCTCACAGCCCAATGCCAGGCGGACTTCTATGCCCTCACAGAGCGTTTCCGGACTATCTTCCTGAGCGGCGTGCCGAGGTGGGGAGGGTGCAGGGGGTGAAGTGTCGAGTCCATGTTGGGCAACCCGAGCCCCGTTTATGGAAGGAAGGGGAGTCCTTCCCCGCGCATTGTCCCTTGCAAGGGGTAAACCATGGGATTGTAGCGACCTGACCTTCCGGCCAGGGTTTGCGACTTGAAACCAATGAAGGTTCCTTTCAATCGGCTTCCCCCCAAATCAGTTGGTGAAGATCATGATGATTCACCCTGCAAGGGCCCCCAGTAGTGCCCTTTTGCCCTTCCTTGGGGGAGGGTTCCCCTACTAAAATAGACTACAAAAAAAGAACGGGTACCCTTATTCTAACCTCTCTATTGGAGGACCTATCCTGGGTCCTCACAGTCCGTCCACTTCCACGAACGGCAACTTCCGCATTGGGGATGCTGCGAAGCGGCGCCGCGGGCGGGGGATGCTGCGAGGGGCGATGGGATCGCTGCTGGGTGACCGAGTCCCAATGGAAGCAGTTCCCTTGTTGGCATCCTCCAGTCCCATGGCTTGCGCGGAAAATTAGGAACGTGAACCTTTGGGATACTTCTTCAGGTATGTGTCAGGGAACTCGTATGGCTGTTGTCCTTCTGGTTTGCCTTGAACCCAAAACGGGTACCCTCAAACGCCCACTCCCGGCACCTCCTTGGAGGCATTGAGCCTCCACACTTGGCTTTCCTCTGGTTTCCTCTCCAAGCAACCTCGTAAAGGGCGACCCACGGCACATGGACCATCCAAGATGCGCCCAGATGCGATGCAGTCGGTGCCGCATCAGCTTGTGTGGCTCAAGTTGTCGTGGTCGCCCCTTGAAGGGGGAGATGCGCGGCCCATTGTGACCCACTTGAAGTGGTAAAATGAGGACTGTGGATAAGAAGGCACCAAGCGCGAGCCGATGGATTCTTCTAAGCGCTTCGGTCGAATGCATGCATGAGCTTGCCATAGCCGTATGCAAACTTTGATCAGCACCCAAAACCACGCAAACGCATGGAACCGTGGTTGTGGGAAGTGGGGCTTTGCTCCCATTCTGTGGCAAGAGCATCCCCTGTCAATCCCTTTTTTAAGTGACTGAACAGTAGGGATGTCCCGTTGGTGAAGGGTGAATTTCTCAATGGTGCCAATGGACTCTGACAAGTACTGCTTTCAGATTGTCGCCCAGGCAAGACCAAACAAAATCGCTCCACTCCACTCCACTGCACTCCACTCAGCTCAGCTCAGCTCAACTCAACTCAACTCCAGCAAGCAGAATCACACCTCTCAATGCTAGGTCTGCCAATTTGCAATCTCAAGAACATGATTGTTTGATATTGGATGCTCGCATAGTCTCTCTCTCTCTCTCTCTCTGTATATGGGTGTGGGTGAAAATTAAACCACCAGGGGATCGCAGATTTGAGTCCTTGGTTCCATTTACCAGGCTTCTATTTTGGGTACCCATTTTTGACCCACTGCCATATATAAATATACACAAATACACGAACACACACACACATTTATCATTTATATACATATATAGACACATACCGGATGCTTCATGACTAGTTCAGCGTCAAGCTTCCAATGCATGTTTGCGAGTTGGTGCGGCGCATGGCATGGACCACCCAAGGCTGGCTCAGGGGCGATGCGAGGGCGGTGGATTCAACCGTGGGGTTTGGGGTTCTTTTGTTTTTACGTCCACTTAAAGCCAACAGTTTGAGGGGTTCTCAAATATCGTTTTGGGATGTCATTTCCCTAAAATCATCATTAGGAGGGCGATTTGACTATGTCACTTCAATGAACCCCAGTGGAGGGCATGCTCCTTCAAGCCATGATTCGCCGTTGGATCAAACTGGACAATCCAAATCCTTCTAAACCTTGGGCATAGGGCCAGCCGACTGTCCTGAAAAGTATCACAAGAAACCTCAGCAGACAGTTTTGAACAGGAGCTTCCGGGGTTGGACCTCTTTTTTTGGGGTGTCCCTGATGATCTGCAAAGCATGTTTTGATGTTTGCTCGCTGGTGAGGGCGTTAAAAATGGCAGAGGAAAACGCAGCAAGTCCAGAGCAGGGCTTTGTCAAGCTACCTCAGAAGCACGTGTGGCCCTCTACGTTTAATGAAAACGTCGGATTGCGCTGAGGCATGCCAATTTGGTCCCAGAAAAGGCGGGATTCCCCGGGCGCACATTTGATCTTCTCCGTGTCCAAATTTTGTGCTTGGGTGAAAAGATCCAAATGGTGGCCGTGTCCGGAGAATTTGGGCATCGCGTACAAAGCAAGCCACCCTTCAAGCAAGCCTTGGGCCCCGAACCCAAGTCGCAGGGTAAAGCAAAGCCGAGGCCTACACGCAAACCCATGTACTTCATTTTGCGAAAAGCGGCAAGGGTGTCACCGGCCGCTGGCCTTCATGGCATGCAGCGCCACTGGCCTGGGACATCAGCAACTCAGAGAACGCAGAACTGAAGGATGATCTGCATTTCGCGCGGACTTGGGCAGATACTTTCAAAGCCTCATTTTTTTTTGGCTGCTGGAACCAAAGACCTAGTTCTGGCTTGAACCAGTGGATTTCAGGGCTTGCTACGCGTGATTCGAGGAAGCTCACCGTTGGCAAGCCTTGGTTGCCACGGGCAAGGCCAGTGCCACAGGCGATAACCACGGCCGTGGACCCACCAATCATCCAGCCGACGATTGACAAACGCAGGATCGCTGGCTGCTTTCCCCGAACAGGATTTGACATCTCTCGGTTTGGACGGCATATTTTATATAATACTCACCCAAACTTCATGAGACACTGCCTAGGTCCCCAAGTAGTGCCCTTTTACCCGTTTTTGGTTGGGAGGGTTTCCCTACTAAAATCAACTACAGGGAAAACAGTTGGTACCCTTGTTCTAACCTCTCAAATCTGGTGACCAAAGGGAAAGCTTCGGAACGGTATTGAAAGGGAGGACCGGAGGGGAGGATTCGGCTTTCGGGCGTTCGGTCAGGGCGCCGGTGGCGCCCAGTGCGCCCAAGCCCAAAGGAATCCGCCCAGGCCGGGGGTGGGGGGCTGGGGTGGGGTGGGGTGGGGTGGGGTGGGGTGGGGTGGGGTGGGGTGGGGTGGGGTGGGGTGGGGTGGGGTGGGGTGGGGTGGGGTGGGGTGGGGTGGGGTGGGGTGGGGTGGGGTGGGGTGGGGTGGGGTGGGGTGGGGTGGGGTGGGGTGGGGTGGGGTGGGGTGGGGTGGGGTGGGGTGGGGTGGGGTGGGGTGGGGTGGGGTGGGCTGGGGTGGGCTGGGGGTGGGTGGGGTGGGGTGGGGTGGGGTGGGGTGGGGGTGGGGTGGGGCTGGGGTGGGGTGGGGCTGGGGTGGGGTGGGGTTGGGGTGGGGTGGGGCTGGGGGGGTGGGGCTGGGGTGGGGTGGGGTGGGGTGGGGTGGGTGGGGGGGGGCTGGGGCTGGGGTGGGGTGGGTGGGGTGGGGTGGGGTGGGGTGGGGTGGGTGGGCTGGGCATGGGGTGGGGTGGGGTGGGGTGGGGTGGGGTGGGGTGGGGTGGGGTGGGGTGGGGTGGGGGGTGGGGCTGGGGTGGGGTGGGCTGGGGTGGGCTGGGGTGGGGTGGGGTGGGGTGGGGCTGGGGTGGGGTGGGGTGGGTGGGGCTGGGGTGGGTGGGGTGGGGCTTGGGGTGGGGCTGGGGTGGGGTGGGGTGGGGTGGGGGCGGGCTGGGGTGGGGTGGGGTGGGGTGGGGTGGGGTGGGGTGGGGTGGGGTGGGGCTGGCGTGGGGCGGTGGGGTGGGGTGGGGTGGGGTGGGGTGGGGTGGGGTGGGCTGGGGTGGGGGTGGGGTGGGGTGGGGTGGGTGGGGTGTGGGGCTGGGGTGGGGTGGGGTGGTGGGGTGGGGCTGGGCTGGGGTGGGGTGGGGTGGGGTGGGGTGGGGTGGGGTGGGGTGGGGTGGGGTGGGGCTGGGGTGGGGTGGGGCTGGGGTGGGGTGGGGTGGGGTGGGGCTGGGGTGGGGTGGGGCTGGGGTGGGGCTGGGTGGGGTGGGGTGGGGTGGGGTGGGGTGGGGTGGGGTGGGGTGGGGTGGGGTGGGGTGGGGTGGGGCTGGGGTGGGGTGGGGTGGGGTGGGGTGGGGTGGGGTGGGGTGGGGTTCTGTTTTTCTCAAAGGGGTCCATTCTTTAAAGTGGCAACGCCGGAGTTCTTTGGAGTTCCCTTTTTTGCCAAAGGGTCCGCTACGCGGTGATCCAGGTGAACATAGAGAGCCCGTTTTGGGATGTCGGCGGGTTCTGGGTGTGTGTTTTTGGTTGCATGCCTCTTCTCCCTCAAGATGAGCTGGCTAGTTTATGTGCGGCTGCTTCAAGATGCGGATGTTTGCGGATGTGTCGTCAGCAACATCTTCAAAGGTTGGAAAGGAGATGGGAGAATCATGATTTCGCATTTGCGGCAACTTGCCCCAAGAATCTTAACACCATCCCACTTATCCAGCGGCATTTGCTTGCTTCTTTTGGACGGGTCGCCATGAAGCGGGCGGCCCAAGTGAGCCTTTGCCCAAAACATCCATCGCAGATCCGAGCAAAGTGTCTATGTAGCGCCGGCAAGTTCTTCCACGCTCAAAATCTTCTTGGGCACCCGGTCAGTCCAGAGATCTCAGACGTGGGATCATTGACAACCACCTGTCCAGCCAAGCGCGCGAGCAAAAACCGAAAGGTTGATCCACCCCATGCTGTTCAGCCATGAGTAACAATCAGTTACCACGTGGAACGGGTCCCTATTGCGGCCCGATTTGTTAGGAAGCCTCCAACTGTGTACTGACCCGTACCTATTGGGTTTGCTCTCTTAGTGCAACTCACTATGTTCCAGAACACGCATGGGTTTAGCCTTCCTTTGCCAATTGTCAGATTTCGGACACAAGGTACGATCTTAATGGGACATCACAACAGCAGATTTCCATTCAGTGTGCAACGTTCGAGGCTCGGGACGCCGCCGTCGAACTGGTTCTTCACGCTTGGGCAATCCTCGGCTTTCTCAAATTCAGGAAATGGGCCCCACATATTGGACAACGTAAATGGAGCCCTGCCATGAATCAACCCTAGGTGCTTGAACTTCCGAGTCCTGCACTTGGAGGCCTAAGCCACTGATCTCGTTTGGGTTCAGACCAAAAACTCGCCCAGGCGGCTTTGCCAGACGCCTGGAGGCGAAGCTCAACAGTGGATGCGTGCATGGTCAGGGTTCTTTAGGCGGTCCCCTCTGTTCCAGAAGGTTTCATAGGATTCATGAATGGGCGGGGGTCAAAATGAAACCACCCGGGGACCGCAGATTTGAGTCCTTGGTTCCATTTACCAGGCTTCTATTTTGGGTACCCATTCTTGACCCACAGCCAAATAGTGGCCATGTGAGCAAGGGTCAAAATTGCCATTCTGCAGATGTAGAAGAATGTGTCATGCTTGCAGAAAATGATTGCTGACTCATGGAAATGATACCCTTGCAAGCTGGCAAAACTTGGGACAACGATAGGTGACTCACCGAAATGGACCGCAGCTCATGTCCTTTGGAGTTTGGCTGAACGCCACTGATTTACCATTGGTCAAAGGATCCACTCGGCACTCCGATGACAGGTATCTGGCGTCAAAACCCGTAATTTCAGTGGGTTATGACCCCGGATAGGATCTTAGACCATGCAGATATTATGGCTGCGGGTCAAAACCAATGGTACCATTTTGGGGTATTAGTCTGTTTTGGCTGCGATTGGGATGTTCACTGGGGGTACGGGATTTTGACCCATGGCCGTATGTGCACATGTGCATGCATGCCACCTAGTTTTGACAGCCATGTTTCCGGACAAACATCACCCGAACCGACAACCTGCCTGGAGATTGGTGCAGCTGGTGGGAAATACCATGGTACAGATGGCCTAGCTGTTGGAACAAAAGGTTCGTTTCATCAGGAGCACCTTACTTTGGTTGAATGTGTGTTACTAGGGACCTCCAATAGAGGTTGGTGTCATGTTGGTTCCCTTCTTGAATGCGTCTTCCGTGGACTCCATGTGGCGACGCTCTGTATCCACCAGTGGGGTTGGCCATCAGGGCGCCGGTTTGATCTGGGGATGCCAGAGAGGGGGACCCCTTTGGGATGGTGTTCCAAAAGGGAGCCAAAAGGATACCAACCAGTCTGGGGGGGGTCAAAGATTCTTTGACCCACTGGCAGGAAGCCCTGGAGATCAGAACCTTGAGATGTTAAACCCGCCAAGAACGGGTTCCTTGTCCAGCCACGTGGAAGGGTGGTGGTTCACCGGTTGTTGGCTTAGAGACTCTCGAGAGTCCAGTGCTACCCTACTGTCTATGCATTTTTAACATCAAAGTCAGCTGAGTAGGTCAAAGGGAAAGCACCGCTGGATTCGGACTTTGATATCCGCCGGAAGCAAACCAGATCATGGGCGCTCAAACTTGCCAATGACACCATCCGTTCGTGGTGTCATTTGGAGCCAAATCTGTCAAACCCATATGGGTTGGTGGTTGAGGGAACCCTTTTGGCAAACCTGTGGTGTCATTTGGAGCCCAATTTCCATATGGGGAACTTCCGTCTGTAGGTTGGCTAGGCCCACCCGCCAGGCGCATAGCCCGGAGGTCTCAGACCGGCCGGGGAACTCGACCGGTCAATGAGCTGACTGATTCGGGGATTCGGGTAGGACGGAGCCAGCGAGCCATGAGATAGGTCCTTTGCTTGGAAATTCCTTTTCAGGTTTTGGAAGAAAATGGAGTTTTAGTAGGCATCGTTGCGCAAATCAGGAGAGAGTGCACACAACTAGCATAAGATTGTTTGCCTCGCAGATGAGCTTTATGCCCACATAAGCTTGCATGAGTGTGTCAGAAGGAGTCAGACCCTTCTTGGCAAGGTGCCAAAAGAATTGGACTGCCACTAGGAATGGGCCCCTGATGTTTTCGACTTCAGGCTGATAGTTCGGGCAGACTAGCTTCAAACATGGGCGCCAAAAGCACACGATCACCACCTTTCTCTTTGGCCACAAGGGGTACCACAAGTAAACCAATCATTCGGGTGCGTCGGTTGCAAGGCAATTTCGGACTAAACGTCACTTGTTGCACAGTCTTCTACAAAGGGGCGACTTTCACTTGGATTTGCGAAGGTATGCAAAACGAAGGTGTTGTTTCCTTTATTTCGGCTACAGGACTCAGGCCATCCCAAGGAATGCGCGGTTTCCCAATGGCCATGACAAGGACTCTCTCAAAGTGGTTGGGCCGAAATCCCTCCAGCCATGAATGTTTCGTCGTGGAAACTGCCCACTAACATGGATCATCGTGTGGGGTTTGAGGTGCGACAATTGCATGGCTTCGTGCCAGTATCTTCCACACCGGAACTGGGCCGAAAGATACACAAGCCCTTCCGCTGCATAACACAAGCACCCCTGCTCAACATTTTATATGGCTCAAGATAGTTTTGCAGACTTCGGCGTGACTTCTTGGCAAACCCTTTGCGCCATGGCAGAAGATTCAAAGCCGAAGACGGAGCAGAGCTGTGCAGAGTTTGCGCTGTACACCACCTTGAAGATTCATGGCCCGACTTGACAAATCAACATTTCCGCTTCTGCCCGTCTATGAGTTTTCTTCATGGTCCACGTTAACCGGCGAAGAGTGATGCTTTCTGCGAGTCTAGGCCTTTCGCCCTTCAAGTTCTGCATCATGTTCCCTTTAACCACAACCAGTTTTCTCTTTTCGGATCGTGAAACCGATCCTAACCACAGCCAGTTTTCTCTTTTCGTATCGGGGAAAAACCACGATCCTAACCACAGCCAGTTTTCTCTTGTCGGGATTGGGGAAAAAATAGATCCTAATCACAGCCAGTTTTCTCTTTTCGGATCGGGGAAAAAACAAAAATATCCTACTAGTTTTCTCTTTTCCGACGGAAAAAACAATATCCTAACCACAGCCAGTTTTCTCTTTTCGGATCGGGGGGAAAAAACAATCCTAACCGCAGCCAGCTTTCTCTTTTCGGATCGAGGGAGAAAAAACATAAAACGATGCTAACTACTAACCACGGCCAGTTTTCTCTTTTCGGATCGGGAGAGAAAGAGAACTCCTAACCACAGCCAGTTTTCTCTTTTCGGATCGGAAAAAATAGGATCCTAACCACAACCAGTTTTGTCTTTTCCGACGGGAAGAAACAAGATCCTAACCACAACCAGTTTTCTCTTTTCGGATCGGGGAAAAAACACGATCCTAACCACAGCCAGTTTTCTCTTTTCGGATTGGGGAAAAAACGATCCTAATCACAGCCAGTTTTCTCTTTTCGGATCGGGAAAAAAAGAAAAAGATCCTAACCACAACCAGTTTCTCTTTTCCGACAGAAAAAACAATATCCTAACCACAGCCAGTTTTCTCTTTTCGGATCGGGGGAAAATATCCTAACCACAACCAGTTTTCTCTTTTCGGATCGGGGGGAAAAGAACGATCCTAACCGCAGCCAGGTTTCTCTTTTCGGATCGGGGGAGAATAAACATGAAACGATCCTAACCACAGCCAGTTTTCTCTTTTCCGACGGGAAAAAACAAGATCCTAACCACAGCCAGTTTTCTCTTTTCCGACGGGAAAACAACCGATCCTAACCACAACCAGTGTTCTCTTTTCCGACGGGGAAACAAAAGATCCTTTCCACAGCCAGTTTTCTCTTTTCCGACGGGGAAAAAAAGATCCTGACCACAGCCAGTTTTCTCTTTTCGGATTGGGGGGGAAAAACGATCCTAACCACAGCCAGTTTTCTCTTTTCCGACGGGAAAAAAACGATCCTAACCACAGCCAGTTTTCTCTTTTCCGACGGGGAAACAAAAGATCCTAACCACAGCCAGTTTTCTCGTTTCCGACGCGAAAAAATACGATTCTGACCACAGCCAGTTTTCTCTTTTCCGACGGGAAAAAACACGATCCTAACCACAGCCAGTTTTCTCTTTTCCCACGGGAAAACAACGATCCTAACCACAGCCAGTTTTCTCTTTTCCGACGCGAAAAAAAATTTCGATTCTCACCACAGCCAGTTTTCTTTTTTTTCCGACGGGAAAAAACGATTCTGACCACAGCCAGTTTTCTCTTTTCCGACGGGAAAAAACGATCCTAACCACAGCCAGTTTTCTCTTTTCCGACGCGAAAAAAAGATCCTGACCACAGCCAGTTTTCTCTTTTCCGACGGGAAAACAACGATCCTAACCACAGCCAGTTTTCTCTTTTCCGACGCGAAAAAAACACGATCCTGACCACAGCCAGTTTTCTCTTTTCCGACGCGAAAAAATACGATCCTAATCACAGCCAGTTTTCTCTTTTCCGACGAGGAAAACACGATCCTAACCACAGCCAGTTTTCTCTTTTCCGACGGGAAAAAGCACGATCCTAACCACAGCCAGTTTTGTCTTTTCCGACGGGAAAACAAGAAAAATATCCTAACCACAGCCAGGCTTCTCTTTTCCGACGGGGAGAAAAACGATCCGAACCACAGCCAGCTTTCTCTTTTCCGACGCGAAAAAATACGATTCTGACCACAGCCAGTTTTCTCTTTTCCGACGGGAAAAAAAACGATCCTAACCACAGCCAGTTTTCTCTTTTCCGACGGGAAAAACGATCCTAACCACAGCCAGTTTTCTCTTTTCCGACGCGAAAAAACGATCCTAACCACAGCCAGTTTTCTCTTTTCCGACGGGAAAAATACGATTCTGACCACAGCCAGTTTTCTCTTGTCCGACGGGGAAAAAACGATCCTAACCACAGCCAGTTTTCTCTTTTCCGACGAGAAAACAACGCATCCTAACCACAGCCAGTTTTCTCTTTTCCGACGGGGAAACAAAAGATCCTAACCACAGCCAGTTTTCTCTTTTCCGACGGGGAAAAAAAGATCCTGACCACAGCCAGTTTTCTCTTTTCCGACGGGGAAACAAAAGATCCTAACCGCAGCCAGATTTCTCTTTTCCGACGGGAAAAAACGATCCTAACCACAGCCAGTTTTCTCTTTTCCGACGCGAAAACAAAATTCGATTCTCACCACAGCCAGTTTTCTCTTTTCCAACGCAAAAAATACGATTCTGACCACAGCCAGTTTTCTCTTTTCCGACGGGGAAAAAAACGATCCTAACCACAGCCAGTTTTCTTTGTTCCGACGGGAAAAAACACGATCCTAACCACAGCCAGTTTCTCTTTTCCGACGGGAAAAACACGATCCTAACCACAGCCAGTTTTCTCTTTTCCGACGCGAAAAAAATACGATTCTGTCCGCAGCCAGTTTTCTCTTTTCCGACGCGAAAAAACACGATCCTGACCACAGCTATTTTTTAGTTTTTTCCGACGGGAAAAAAACGATTCTGACCACAGCCAGTTCTCTCTTTTCCGACGCGAAAAAATTTTTCGATTCTCACCACAGCCAGTTTTCTCTTTTCCGACGGGAAAAAACGATTCTGACCACAGCCAGCTTTCTCTTTTCCAACGGGAAAAAATACGATTCTGACCACAGCCAGTTTTCTTTGTTCCGACGGGAAAAACACGATCCTAACCACAGCCAGTTTTCTCTTTTCCGACGGGAAAAAACGATCCTAACCACAGCCAGTTTTCTCTTTTCCGACGGGAGAAAAAGGATCCTAACCACAGCCAGTTTTCTCTTTTCCGACGGGGAAAACAAATACGATTCTGACCACAGCCAGTTTTCTCTTTTCCGACGGGAAAAAACGATTCTGTCCACAGCCAGTTTTCTCTTTTCCGACGCGAAAAAACGATCCTAACCACAGCCAGTTTTCTCTTTTCCGACGGGGAAAGCAAACACGATTCTCACCACAGCCAGTTTTCTCTTTTCCGACGGGGAAAACAAACACGATTCTCACCACAGCCAGTTTTCTCTTTTCCGACGGGAAAAAACGATTCTGACCACAGCCAGCTTTCTCTTTTCCAACGGGAAAAAATACGATTCTGACCACAGCCAGTTTTCTTTGTTCCGACGGGAAAAAACACGATCCTAACCACAGCCAGCTTCTCTTTTCCGACGGGAAAAACACGATCCTAACCACAGCCAGTTTTCTCTTTTCCGACGGGAAAAAACGATCCTAACCACAGCCAGTTTTCTCTTTTCCGACGGGAGAAAAAGGATCCTAACCACAGCCAGTTTTCTCTTTTCCGACGGGGAAAACAAATACGATTCTGACCACAGCCAGTTTTCTCTTTTCCGACGGGAAAAAAATCGATTCTGTCCACAGCAAGTTTTCTCTTTTCCGACGCGAAAAAAACACGATCCTAACCACAGCCAGTTTTCTCTTGTCCGACGGGAAAAAACACGATCCTAACCACAGCCAGTTTTCTCTTTTCCGACGGGAAAAAACACGATCCTAACCACAGCCAGTTTTCTCTTTTCCGACGGGAAAAGGCACGATCCTAACCACAGCCAGTTTTGTCTTTTCCGACGGGAAAAAAACGATCCAAACCACAGCCAGTTTTCTCTTTTCCGACGGGAAAAAATACGATTCTGACCACAGCCAGTTTTCGCTGGTCTGACGGGAAAAAACACGAATGTAACCACAGCCAGTTTCTCTTTTCCGACGCAAAAAAAATACGATTCTGACCACAGCCAGTTTTCTTTTTTTCCGACGGGAAAAAACACGATCCTAACCACAGCCAGTTTTCTCTTTTACCGACGGGAAAAATACGATTCTGACCACAGCCAGTTTTCTCTTGTCAGACGGGAAAAAACACGATCCTATCCACAGCCATGTTTTCTCTTTTCCGACGGGAAAAAACGATCCTAACCACAGCCAGTTTTCTCTTTTCCGACGGGAAAATACGATTCTGACCACAGCCAGTTGTCTCTTTTCGGATTGGGGGGAAAAACATATCCTAACCACAGCCAGTTTTCTCTTTTCCTACGGGGAAAAAAAGATCCTGACCACAACCAGTTTTCTCTTTTCGGATTGGGGGGGAAAACATATTCTAACCACAGCCAGTTTTCTCTTTTCCGACGGGAAAAAACATTTCCTAACCACAGCCAGTTTTCTCTTTTCCGACGGGGAAAAGAAGATCCTGACCACAGCCAGTTTTCTCTTTTCGGATTGGGGGGAAAAAAAAGATCCCGACCACAGCCAGTTTTCTCTTTTCGGATTGGGGGGGGAAAAACATATCCTAACCACAGCCAGTTTTCTCTTTTCCGACGGGAAAAGAAACGATCCTAACCACAGCCAGTTTTCTCTTTTCGGATTGGGGGGGAAAAACATATCCTAACCACAGCCAAATAAACGATCCGAGGGTTCTGGGGGTGCTTCTTGCCCTCTACTGCTTCCTCTTCGGCCTGGATCTGATGGGCGGCTCCTTTGGGGCCTTGGGCGGCAAAGGGGCCGGACAGCTCTTCACCATCACTGACAACCCCATTGCAGGCGAGTCAACGTGCCACTCTCAAAAAGCGAACTTGGGTTTTCTAAGGAACATGTTTTTGGTTCTTCTTCTTTTTAAACATTAAAAAGAACACATAATAAATAAAAATAAAATAAAATAGAACATAAAATAAATAAATAAACAAGTAGATGAAAGTAAATCAGCATTTGTCATTTTTTTCCGCATTTGTCTCAAGAAACTGCAGGGCTCATGGTGGGCATCCTGGCCACAGTCTTGGTGCAATCCTCCTCCACGAGCACGAGCATTGTGGTGGGCTTGGTGGGAGCGGAGGTGCTGACGGTGAGGCAAGCCATCCCCATCATCATGGGCGCGAACATAGGCGCTGTCCCAACCGGTCCAACCACCCCGGAATCCTTTGGATTGACAAATTGGTCAAGTGACTCCGGTCCGAATGATTTACTTCGTGGTGTTATTCTTTTCCGAAAACATCACAGCCCCAAGTAAGTTCTTGGGGAAAAAAACAGGACCAAGTTCATTTTTCCGGTGTTTTTCTTCTGCTCCAGGAGTTCCAGGGGAACCAAACAAAACAAAAAAACCCAGGACCAAAATTGGGATGGATGCGGGATGGGAGTCCAGGCACGTCGGTGACCAATACTATCGTTTCCATGGCCCATATGGGAGACCGCCTCGAGCTCGAGCGCGCCTTCTCCGGTGCGACGGTCCACGACATGCGACTCAGCTCACGGAGAGCCTTGGGAGTGTTGGATGTTTGGAGTTGGAAGCTGAAGGATATATATGTACCATATATATATATATATATGTGAGTCTTTTGTATTGAACTCGTTTTGTTTTCATCTTTTTGAGGATGTTTGAAGAGTTAAGAGTTGGATGTCTGACAAATCCAACACCAAACTTTAGCTTGCGATGGATGAAGCGGCCACTAAGGTTCAACATGATGAGTGTTCTGACTTTGCTGCCCATTGAAATCATCATCGCGGCCATTTCGGGCGAGGGCGGACTCCTTTTCTGGATTTCCAAGGGCCTGACTGACGCCATCCTGGGCAATGATGCCTCCGACCTGACCTTTCCCTCTCCCACGAAGGCCATTGTGAGTCCCCTCACCAAGGCGGTCCTCAGCAAAGACAAGAACGTGGTAAAGGCTCTTTCCTTTGGTGCCCCAGTAGAGCATGCGATCCCGGCGAGCTTCTGTGGTTCCGCGGACTGCGGCACTTACTACTGCGTGTCCTCGGGCATGAGCTCAGCTTGGAAGAAGGTAGCAGAAGAGGGCTATGAAGCTTTGCAGACCTGCGGGGCCTTTACGACTGTGTGCAATTCGGACAGCGCTTGCTACCTGGATGCTGGCGAGTACTACACGACCGAAATCGAAGGGGCGCGCCTGATTGGCAAGGGCTTCCTGAAGGGTGCCGGCGACGTGGCGGGCGGCATCATCGGGCTGGTGATTGCGCTGGTGGTGATGTGTGTGGCGCTTTATGTCATGGTGAGGCTGCTGCACAGTCTGGTCATGGGCCAGGCGAAGAAGGTGGCCATGGGTCAAAATCCAAATCGTACCCCCAGTGCACATCCGATTCAATCCAGCCACTAGAATAGGCAACCTAAGATGGGTGGTGAATTCACCAATCTCCACCAAACTGGGATCCCGTTTAACGGTTTGGAGCCAGGTGATCATGAAGGGCACCCAGATGAACGACTACTGCGCCATGCTGCTGGGGGTGGCCCTGACCTTGATAGTGCAGTCCAGCTCCGTGGTGACGTCTGCCTTGACCCCTCTGGTCGGCATCGGGGTGCTCTCCGTCGCCAAGATGCTGCCCATGAGCCATGACTGCGTTTGAAGGGCTTGCTTTAAAGGGGCGCCAGAGCTCAACGGAAGGTTTTGCTTCCCCCTGCAAAAATGAAGTTGTGAATCTTGGGTCCCCCTGTCGCTCTCATTTGCAAGCAAACTACCTGAAAGTCCACTGCCGACCTCTTAGAACCATGTCGGCCAAAGGGGTGTCAGAACTCAACGGAACATGGCAACGGATCCGTTCCGTTAAGAGCCCAGGACGCTGGGATCCAATATCGGGACGACCTTTACATCCATGTTCGCCGCGCTGGCCGTCATGAAGGCAGACAGCATCCAGATCGCATTCTGCCACCTTCTCTTCAACATCATTGGCATCCTCATTTGGTTTCCGGCACCCCCGATGAGGCGGGTGATCATTCGGGCGGCGTGCACTTTGGGCTTCTACGCGTCTTACTGGCGCTTGGTGCCGCTGATCTACATCCTGGTGATGTTTCTGGCCGTGCCCGGCATCACGCTGAGCATCTCCCTGCTCTACCAAGCCAGCGTGGCCGGGGGGGTCGTGGTGACCCTGCTGGCCCTAGGCTTGCTGGCGGCCTTTGTGGTCGCACGACTTCACGCCATGCCTTGGGACGGCTTGTGCTTTCTTCTTGGCTGGTTTTGCCCGCACATGTAGTTGCATTTGAAATGCAGCTCATAGGGGGTCGTTTCCATTCGCATGCGTCGGATCGTGGCCCAGGTCTGGTGGGTCCGGGTGGGCTGCTACAAGGTCGTGAGCCAGGAAGCGCGAGCGCTGCGCCAGGCCGAGATCGAGGCGGCAGAGAAGGAGCCAACTGAGCCGGAGCCGACTCCGGCAGAGCCTGAGACGCCAGAGGCAGTTTGAGGCTGGAGGCTTTTTGTGGTTCAAACGGCCCAATAGAGAATGAGTCTGGTGCAAAGGCACCTCGATCCGGAGCTTTGGAGAAGCTCGTGCACATTTTTGTGCTGCAGCGACAGGTTGCCAATGGGCAGAGAACCAATTCGCTGCAGCTGCTCTTGATTGGGTCTTGGCAACTGATAATTCTTAGCAGCTGCCACACCCTTGAACCTTATTACCTCCCGCAGGAATGCCTTTTGGTCCTGGGAGGGTTCCGCCGCTTTGGCATTCATCTTGTCCGCACAGAGGTGACAGAAATCTCGGCGCCTAAGGCGGCGTGACGGAAGTTGAATGCCTTGCCTGTATTGCTCCACCTGTCGTACCATGGGGTACCATGCACCATGCAGCAGGAGAAGAGCGAATCGCAGACTGGCGGAGACAAATACCAACATATGCACACCATGATGTGCAGCAGCAAGGGGGCACGTGCATGTGCAGCATGCTCTGCTTGCGTGTGTGTGTGTGTGTGTGTGTGTGGTTTTGTTTTTGAGTGTTGGCAGCTCTCATTCTGAACAGGACACGGCACTGCCACAAATTTTCAAATGTTTGTTCAACAATCCAGAAAGCTGGATTGCTCCATAAGTCTATTGACAGACCGTGCTTTAGGTGCTCATGTTGAAGGCGTGTTCACCCAAATGTTTGAGTATCTGAGTTTTGACCATTTTGTCTACAGAGTCTACCGTTGATTTAATGGAAGGCATCAAGAGCCCACGCCATGCACTGAAATGCCCATTTGGGGCACAGAGGAGAATTTCGAATACATGCCGATGACTTAGTCTTGGGCAGCATTTGAAGGGTTCATTGACGATCAGGTTCAGCGTCCCACCAAGTTGGTCCCCTGCCTTTTGTGGTTCTCCAGTTTGAATGAGTGACTCCATGCAAATTTACATCGAACCTTACGGCGTCCCCAGAAAGGAGATTCGCGTGCAGATGGTTCGTTGGGGTTCCAAGTGAATTTTGAGAGGCTTGAGCCGAAGACAATGGCCAGGTCCGCATCGCCAGAGCCAGGCGGGGCATGGCGTGGGGAGTGGGAGCCCTTTTGGTTTTCGCGCCTTTAAAGCAGGTTCAGGGTCAAAAGACCAGGGCCCCATTGATTGGGAAAGGACATTTTGTGGAATGAGTACCTCGGGGCCAGTTCGCCAGTTCGGGGAACCATCGCCACGTTCACGTCGCTAGGCTAGCATGGTTTCGGAAAGAAACAACCACTGGAGTTCGTTTTCACGTTTTCATTCCGACCTGAATATAGGGTGTGCTCCTTTGCGCAAAAGCCAAAGTCGGCGTTGGCTGCATGGCAAGTGAATTCTAGTAAAACTGTTTGCCGCTTGAGCCTGAAAATAGTTCATTGCTTGTTTCTGCAGCCGGGGACGTCAAAGTCACGTTTCTTGCGAAGTGAAAGCAACAAGCAATCAGATTGTGTAGCAAACAGCTTGGGAAAAGCCCAATTCCGATTCAAAGCCATAGCAAGGGGAGCCATGGGAGGGTTGTGGCTCATGTTCTTGAATGGCCCCACTCATCTCTAGAAGTCGGGCTGGAATGGCTCCCTTGCTCTGAATCCCGGCAAATCCGCTTAGAAAGTCTATGTCCTTCTGGGCAGTTGCCCTGAATTCCGATGCGGGTTTGTTATTCAGTAGATTTGCTGTTGGCGCCAAGACCTCCAAAAGCAGTGCGCATCCCACTCGGAAGATCGGTCAGGTTTAGGATGGGTGTTCCTACTGGGACAGGTTGAACGGTTCAACCGGAGCCCGTCTCAGGGCCTTTGGGACGTCTGAGGGTGGCTTGTGTTTTCCGCGTCACTCTGGAGTGCGGAAAGCTGTTGGTTCAGACCGGCCCCGGTCGCGCGGCCGCCGGAATTCAAGTGCCGACGGTCTCAGCCCCCGACATGTTCGATGAAGTGGAGGGCTTGCTCAGCATTTCCATGACTCGTGTGTGGGCAGTTTGCAGCCAAGCCGGCGACATGTCCCTCGAGCCCATCCCTGGCAGATTCCTGTCACCATCTCTGCACTTCCATTGGTGATGCGTCGCGCTTTTGGCAAGCGCAAGCGGTTGGCTCCGAATCCGCGGAGCAAAGATGAGCGCCTGCCTCGCCCAGTCCCAGGTACCGTTCTAGCAGGCGCCCAAGGCTTCCTCAGTTTGCCTTGCGCATGATGATCTCCGCCAGCTGGTGAGTGAAACTGGGCGCTAGGTTCGCTGTTGGATGCCAGGTCAGTTTGAAGTCAAGGTATTCCAGAAGATGAAGGCAGCTAGACCAACCTTGTCTTTCCTCACACTTACGGGAATTGCAAAACACCCCGGGCCGAAGATGAGCCTTAGCCGACCGGACCCAAAATTTGGGTATGTATCAAGACGGGGCCAGAAAAGCGCAACCCGAAAGTTGTTTTTTCTTTTTTCCTGGACCCAAAAAGTTTTTTTTGTTTTCTCTTTTCCCTCGAGCCCAAGCCGAAAAGGGGCACGCTGAATGCGAGGAGACATCTTTTTGGACGACAGCCCGGAGGAGCTCTCAGAGGCGCGTTGGGGGGGGGGGGGCTCCACTGGAGACGACCGCTGAATTGTTTAGGGTCCCCCTCCCCCTCCAGTTTTTAAAGTTTGACGTGGGCTCTGGAATATGATTTTCGGTGTACCCCAGAATTGGGCAATATGGCTTGAGTATTGGTTTGGCTACTTGTTGTATTTAAATCTGATGTCTTTGATCGGGGTCCTCCCTGCTATTATCACGGGAGATGGAGCCCCGGTTGGATGCTGAGGCTTGCAGCCAACATCTTTAGTGCCTGTTGGCCAGTCCACCACGGCATAAGATGTTTGTTTGTTTGCTTGTTTTGTTTGTTTGTTTGTTTGTTTGTTTGTTTGTTTGTTTGTATGGTTTGTTTGTATTGTTTGTTGCTTTGTTTTGTTTTGTTTTGTTGTGTTTTGTTTGTTTTGTTTGTTTGTTTGTTTGTCTTTTCGGTGGTTTGTTTGTCTGTATATTTGGTCTGTCTGTTTGTTTCTTTGTTTGTTTGTTTGTTTGTCTGTCTGTCTGTTTGTTTGTCCCGCTCTATTTTGTTTGCCTGTTTGTTTGTTTGTTTGTTTGCTTGTTTGTCTTTTCGGTGGTTTGTTTGTCTTATTTGTTTGTCTGATTGTTTGTTTGTTTGTTTGTTTGTTTGTTTTGTTTGTTTTGTTTTGTTTTGTTTTGTCTGTCTGTCTGATTGTTTTTTTGTTTGCTTGTTTGTTTGTCTGTTTTTCTGTCTATTTTGTTTGTTTGTTTGTTTGTTTGTTTGTTCGTTCAAAACACTGTCTCAAATCATCATGGGATCACAGGTGCAGATTCCATAGTAAGCGCTCTTGCATGTGTGCATCCCAAAGGATGCTTGTGGGGCTGAGAAAAGGGTCAGGGAAGCCGTGGATGTGTCTCGTCAGCCTTCTTGCTGGGCAACCCTAGGTGCATTGCCAGCGTTGCCCATTTCCTAGCCCCAAGCATTTGCTTCATATCCCAAAGGCAAGACTGCTTGCTGTCCAACCGCCATGCAGTTCTGTCCCTCAGCTAAGAACGAATAACCTTCCATTTGGCCTAAAAGTTTAACGACCTAGTGGTGATACTGCATGATGGGTCTTTTCCTGCTAGAGACGCTGAGACGGCTTGACTGCCCCGCAGACAAGCATGACTCTAAGCAGTAGGCAGTAGGTTTCTTCACGTATGCCCATGTTACGTACAGATGGGGGCAGAAATTCACAGGCGCATTGAAAGGTATTTACCAGCTTTACTTGCCGACCTGCCCGTGGTATTTGCGATAATATGGGTGTGTATTTTTGAGGGTACCCTTTTTGGCTTGGTTTAAAGTGATCCCACAAGGAACATCACCACATCACCATTTGTGGTGTCCCTATTCTAAGACACATCCAATGGCACGAGAAGCCGCAGCTCCCCTTTGAAGCCACGCTTCTTCCCACTACTTTTCCCCTCCTCAACAGGGCAGCATGGGAATATGCGGGTCCTACATGAGTGGTCAAAGCATCTCCCTCCTTTGGTCTATAGAACAAGAGCCTGAATCATGCCCATGCGAAGATCAAATATCTAAACAGACGTCCGTTGCGGTATGGTCCGGTCTAAGGGAAGATGTACGGACGGACTTGTAGCTGGCCGCGGCTGCAAAACCGGGAGGCGTCTTTGCAGCGCTATTGCGGCGGCGCGGATCTCGCCCTGGTCGAGGCCAACCGCAGCAACTCACTCCCAGAGTTCCAAGACTAGGTCCCCCAGTAGTGCCCTTTTACCCTTTTTGGGGGGAGGGCTCCCCTACTAAAATAGGCTACAGAAAAACGGGTACCAACTTATTCTAACCTCTCAAATTTGGAGGACCTAGTAGAATTCAAGCTTTTCCGGGAGATCATTTTAGTGGACTTTTCTGGCCAACCGAATCAGGAAGTGACGCCCCTTGCAGAGAGGGATTTGGAGAACGCCTCAAGATGCTCACGGGCCCAGTTGTCCCGGGGTGTGTTCGGTATGGCCGGCACATATGAGCAAACGGAAGATTTACAGAGATACCGTCTGAAGAGGATTTTTGGCACTCTCAGGGGGTTCCCGTATTTTCTCAGCGGCCATAGCTTAGGGGTCTTCAGCCATAGTAAACGTTTCGCGGAAGATGGATCGGTGCAGGCCAACATAGCGGGAATTTGCCAGGAGAAGTAAAGGGAAAGCAGGTTGCGAGCATGGCCAGGATCCTGGGGACACCATTTGGCAAAAATGTGGGCAATCAATGGTTCAGCAAGTATTGATGAGCAAGGGGGGTGGTGACCTCCACGCACCTGATGCAACGGCGCAAACCTCAAGACGACACGCCGAAGGTAGACTGCCAAGTGGCCTACGACGCCATTGCATCATCATCGGAGCGCGTGCCGGCGCGGCCGATTTTGGGACGAACTGTGAGGGCGAAGAAGAAGAAAAGCTGCACACCGACGGCGATGCGTCGGGTGCGTCAGAAAGCATAAAGTGATACGACAACAGCACAAGCATATCCGGCGCACTCATCGTAGGCGAGAAGGACCTGATCTTCTTCAGCGGATCTTGGAAAGGCCACACGTGCGAGGGAGCACATGTTGGCTTGTTGGTGAAAAACACGGAATTGTGTGAGAGTGGCTGGGAAACATGTAGGACACGGTTTAAAACCAGGAAGCATGGCATGCGGCAAACTACATCCTGTGCAATTCCTGGACGAGTCCGTCTTCGGCATTTCGGGAAAGGCTTATTTTTTGTTGTGGGATGTCAATTTGTTGGCATTGTTCAGCTTGATTCCTGTTTTGTGGTGGGTAAGCCTTGCTAACCCGCTTTGTTGAAGACCTGGCGCAGATCGGCAATTTTCTGGTCATGGTCAACGTTCTGGCATTTGGGTGCGAAGTTGCACATTCGGGGCTGGAATTTGTGCACGCCGGAAGCCCTTGTGTTTTCTTACATTACTTCAAATAGAATCCTTTGATGCTGGGTTTTGGTCACTCCCTGGTTCAATGGGGCCTACGAGTATTTGAAATATAGCTATAATTGCAATATTTGGAAATATAATATCTGCGTCATACCCAGTCTTTTCATAATACACATGGATATGTCAACCTTCACAACCTTTACATTGTGTGATCTTGCATGGTGCGTCCAAGTACGTTTTCCGTAAGTTCTGTTGTGGCTCAGAGGCAGAGCCTGCAGAGCACTTGCCGTTAAGACAAAGTCCGTGAAACATGATAGCTACGGGTGATGGTGCTACGAAGTCCGAGCTGCATCGTGCACTTCGGCATTCGATGTGGGCACGCTAGAGGCGTGCTCAAAAGCTAACTAACATCCCCGTGAAGCCTACAGAAGCACCTTCTTTCCAAGAAATTGCGCATTGGATATCTACTTATCTATTCACACACGTGTATCTACATATGTAGATATCTACATATCGTGTATCAATCTTCGTAACATCCCAAACCCGGCAGGTGACCCGCAGCCCCAAACAACGCGTCGTCATCAGCGCTTCAGGGCCTGGAGATGCGGGTGGACTCTGCGCGGCAGGGAGTGGATGTGCTGGGCTCCTGCTGGGGCCACGGCCGGGACAGACGTGCCCATTTCACAGGGGGGACCATTTTATGGGGCAGGGTGCCTTCATTTCATGGGCTGCCCATTTCCTTGTGATGTTGGCGGAGTAAGGTTGCTAAGCATGTTTTGGAATGTTGGTTGGTCTCCCCCTTGTTGGGGGTTGAACATGAAGGATGCACAGCGAGAGCTTAGATTAAGATTTGGTCCTTTGGAAATGGAGATTGCCTTGTTGGTAAAATTAAAAGCCTGAAAGGTGCTTGAACCTTGGAAGCGTGTCCACGGTTGTTTTGTTTGGAACCACCACTGCATTTTGTGTGGAAAGTGTGGCTCTGTCAATGTTTACCCTGTGTAATATTTTTTGTTAAAAATACGGCTCGCAAGGTGCGAGAATTGACTTCCCCCCACGTTCTCTTTCACTTGAAGGATTCTAGGGGGGCCAGGGTGTGAATATTTGTTTCCGCGACTGAAGAACGTAAGCTTTCATCTTGGCGGTGTATGGAAGGTGTAAAATCCTTAGGGTCGTTTCGTTGCAGTCAGTTTGATTTGCGCAGGGGATGCTCTGAAGGGAAACTTGCTCTTAGTCTGGCCCTCAGCAGATTCATTGGTGGTGACGCCCCGGTATGACCCTTTCAGGAGGATGAATCTGTGTTGGGGTTTGCTCAGATAAAAATGGTCTGTCAGTCTGCGTTTGCCCCAGGTAAACAAGTACCAAAAGCAACTGGGTGGGCTACCCCTGGGTGGCTTTGAGCATCACCTGTCCCTCCGTTCCTGTCTCTGCACTCATGACCCGTGAGCTTTTCCTTCTTCAAGATCTTCAGATTGGCGACATGCACGCATTTGAATAGAGTTAGACCTATCCCAACCCAAACCCCCCAACCCAACCCCCCAACCACCCCCCCTCTTACCCCCAACCAGAGGCCTCCCCGCACTGCGGCGGCTGCGGCTGTCGGAGCCTGGGCCCCGAGATCGGATCGGACGGGGCAGCTTTTGAAGCCGCCTGGGACGTCCAAAAGGGGCCGTTTTGGAGGTCCGAAACCTTGATCCCACATGCCTATGGAGGGTCCTTCCTCTCGATGCAGCTCCGGGAAAGAGTGGATTTTTTTGGAGCTCCGGGATGGCACGGCGGGTTGCAAGGTGCAAAGATCAGGCTTGAACCATGTCTTGTTTATCCTCGGCGAAAATATATTTTCCTGGATGATTTTAAGAGGGCCAAGCACCAAGCCGGCTGTCGACCTGGACATGGGCTTCTCAGTGAGCTGTGAAGGTTGCTTCGTGTTTGGAGGAATCAGGACCCTTTGGGGGTCTCCAGTACCAGCAACATAGGCGACTTCCTCTGAGCAAACAGCGAGGGCGAAATGGGGGTATGGTTGTACATGTTTGGGGGAAGTGCAGTGCTGTTTCCCTTCGCTCTTTGTGCGGTTTGCGGTCGGTGTTTCCTGCAACTCCGCAGCAAAAAACAACAACAACAACCCGACAAACCGACACACCAACAAGGAAACCGACACACCAACAAAAGCACCAACAAAACACCAACACAACACCAAAAAAAACAAAGCAAACAAAGATACACACAGCAGCACACCACAGAAACCAATCTTTCCTATGGGCTACCGGCATGGCCTCGAGGTCGAGCATCCTGTGCGTGCGGGGCTCGGCGGTGAGTCAGACGTCGCCACCGCACGCGGATACTCGGATGTCGGTAGGGGGTGCGGTGGGGGTAGATTTGGGGTTGTCCAAAAGTAGGGGTTGCAGTTGGAATTCGGTGCTGCAGGAGATATGAGCGAATAGGCTGGATCAAGCAGAAGGTGAACATGTCCTCGCCCCGCAACTCATTGATCAACGTGGCTCCGGCGGTCCCGGGTAATTCGGCCACCTTCTCCATCCGTCTGCCCTGATCCCCAACTCTTGGCGCTTCATTTGGTCTCTCAGGTCCGGGACCTTGGGACCCACCTGCGGCACCTTGAGGCGGGCAGTTCGGAGTGAAGGGACCGGGGGGGGGGGGGCCGCGGGGGCCGGTGGCTGCATAAAAGGTGGCGTTTCTCAGGATGTGGGGTCCGCGCAAAATGTTTCGGGTTCCTTTTGGTGTCCCTTTGAATACCAACTGAAAGGGGGCCCATCCATTTCAAGAAACTCCCAAGTGGGCGGTCTTGCGTTGGTTTCAATTGTTTCTTGTTCTTTATTGCTTCTGTATTGCTTCGCAGGGAGATGTTTTGCTCCGTGTGTCTGCTTCATCGTTGTGTTTCATCTCTCACTTCAAAGTTCTGACCCTCCTCATCTCTCTTTTCTGTGTCTTTGTCTCGTTGCCTCTCATTTTTCTCATCTTTCTCTTTTATCTCTTTTCCCAGACACTCCCGCAAACCACTCAAATGCCCCAACCCTTAGGTTCATGTCTGCCCCGCCTTGCGTATCGCTAGCTCCAAGCTTCGAGCAGGTCCTCTGGCTGGGCCGGTGCGGCCTGCAGGACCTCAGCGGCGTGACACTCATGGAGGCCGAAAAGGATTCCGAACCGCGAGGGCCGTCCATTTTTGTTTCGCCCAGTTTCTCACTTCCTGAGTTCATGAACTTTATTTAAACTTTTTGGGAAGGCCATGTTAGTGGTAAACATAACGTTTGGACTTTTTTGGGCCATCCACTCGGCAAATGAGAGTTTTGGCAATCCCCTTCGTTATTTGAGAGATTCTTACAACAGCACAAGAAGGGTCCAAGCAGGGGTCCATGTTTTTGACCACCCCCAAAGCCAGGTCCACACCTTTTCTCGGGATCTGAACCAGTTTCCTTTGAGTTCTGCTTCGGCGGCATGTCCTGCTATTTCTGCTAGAACACTTTTGGGACGACTTTTGTGCAAATTCAACCATCGGGTCCATGTTTGATGAGAGCTTCCCCCGTACTTAAGTCATTTGAGAAGCAGCAAGGGGGTGTTTTTTTTCACGCAAAAAGTGGGGCAGATGCAAACACACAAATTCCCAACACCCCCTCCGCGGAAGCGGAAGCCCCGAGGGCCTCCGGGAGCTCTACGTGCCCTTCAACGACGTGGCAGATGTGTCCTCCTTGAAGTGGCTGGAGCACCTGGAGGCAGGGGTCCAGGGTCCAGGGTGGACCGATTTCTGCCCGCCAGTGGTGTCGGTGTTTTTTCCAGGTTCCTCTGGGAGTTGTCCCTAAGATGTGATTGAATTGGAATGGAGGTCGCTGGGGGTTTGGGAGTCTGCTAGCTTCCACAACAATTCGAATGTACTGGAACGGGGTTCCACTGGAGACAGACTGGAGCTTTAGGTTGACAGAAACAGTCGCAATGAGGAGGTTTCTGCTTGATGCCCAACCACCCGCTTTGCCTTGGATTGACATTTGCTTGGGGGCGAGAAGGTTTTTTGTGGGACCTGAACAAGCCAAAGCAAGCCCAAGTTGGCATGTTGGAGTGTTCATACGTCGTATTCCGCGTTTTTTGTTCCTTTGGCAAGTAGATTCCCTTGCTGGTTCTCGGTCGGGAGTCTGCTTGAGGTTTTGGGGATGAACGGGGGAAGGGGATCCCCCAGTTTGGTTCAGTTCGGGGTCATCTCATTCCCGGTCCCAGCGTTTTCCCATGTCCCATGTCAATGTGTGTATGTATGGTTTGCTCTCCCCATGGCGACTCTAGGTGTTGGACCTTGAGGGCAACGCCCTGACAGACCTGGAGGCGAGAAGACGCGCGAGCGGAAAAGCTGTCTGTGTTTTCTCGCGTTTTTTTTTTTTGTGTGTGGCATTCGTACTTTGGGTGTTTCTTCCGTTTGGAGACAAACCGGGATTTGGCCTTAACCGACCGGTCCTTGGTTGGCGAACCCGCTTGGCCAGAAATTCGGCCGGTCCTGGCAACACCTCCGCGGACCTGCCTCACCAGCAAAACAAGGGCTGGCAAAGGACAATTCCCGAATACTCCCCAGCCAGTTGATTGAACTTCAACTGATCGAATTTGTTTGATTTAAGTGCCTGAGTCACAGGACACGCAGAGTTGTTGAGTTGTTGAGTACAGTCCCGTTGCAAAGTGCGCGGACATCAGAGATCTGTCCTTTTGATTCTTGACACGTTTTTTTTTTTGGTGTGTGTGTGTGGATACTTGTTTTTGAAAGGTTTGGGTGACGCAAACCACCGATTTCTTTTGCGGCTTCTTTTTTTTTCTTTCGCGTCTTTGATTTCCCGAGGTCCCAGGCAGGGCTTGCCCTAGGTGGGGGTGGGGGTGGGAGGGTTGACAATTCCTTCAAGACATTGACCGAGGCAATCCAAAACGGGGGGGCGAAACGGATACTTGGTTCCTAAAGGCGGAAGCGGAGGGTTCAATGCAAGGAGTGTTTCGTTGAGCAGTTTCAGCATCAGTTGGGTTCATTGAAGGCCGGTGATGTCTAGGTTGTAAACTCTGTTCCTACAAAACACAGCCCCCCACCCAAGAATGCTGTCCTGTTACAGTGGATTCTTGCGCATTTCCATGTTTGACTGAATACTGACATTTTGCTCCATGATCATGACCTTTGGTTTTACACTATCCAACTCCACTCATTTAATGTAGGTGCCTTAAACCCAGTGATTCTGTATAACTGCGCAGGTAACTAAGGACATTTTCCAAAATGATCAATCACTTCCCGAACAGGAATTGGGATAGATGAGTGCTCCCTAAATTCAGTTCAAAGTACCTCCCGTTTTATTCTAATCATTTAGGCCCTAGCAAGTGAGTACACTTCCAACAACCAAATGGATATATACCCACCCACTCTTTCAGAACGTGGACAATGGGTCATGGTGACCCACTAATTATCCCCAAATCAATTTGGTGCTGGGTACCCTCCCATCCACAAATATGGAACCTCACAGGGTGGTGGGTTCAATGTCAGTCAGTGGGCGGGCAACTTGGAATCTAGTAGTGTTTCAAGAGGGAAGTTACTGTTCAAAGTCAGTTTTTTGCGCTTACCGCCCGGATAGCAGTGGTTCCCCTTGTGGTGTCCCACTACTTGGTCGACCAGAGGGTAAGTGCTAGGACTTGCGAGAGCTCGAGAAGTGCTATGAGCTCCGAGACCTCACCCTCCGCGACAATCCGGCCACTTTCCTGCCGGAGTTCGACCGCAAGGAACCCACAGGTCCGTTGAGGGAACCCCATTTAAGGGTTGTTCAAGCCAACACGGGGTGCCCGCCCCCCATCTAGACACCCACGCCCACACCCACACCCACACCCACGCCCACACCCACACCCGCACCCGCACCCGCATCCGCACCCGCACACGCACACGCAGGCACGCACGCACACGCACACGCACAGGCCCACGCCCACGCGCACGCACGCGCACACTTTTTTTTTCTACTTTGTTCTATCTGAGATATCACTCTTTTTGTCCTGTGGAATGGTTTGAGCATTGCGCTTTGATTTCATTTGTTTGATATGTGAGAAACCCTGTGGGAGTAAGGTCGAACGAACCACCATCAATCCTGGTGACTCCGGGCAAGCCACTATGATGGGTGGCCCGTTCACCTACGGGTGCCCTGGTTGCCTGGATTGGTAGTTGAATCATGGGTGCCGATTGAGAATTCGGGGCGTGCAACCTGATCTTGGCTTTGTGGTAACTTGATTGGTATTTCTTCGCCATGCCATTCCCTTGACAAGTAGATGAACGCGAATCACGTTGACTCCTGATGAACTAGCAATTTCTGAGCCCTGATAAATCGTTAGTGAGTTGTCAATCAATGGTCGGAACGATTTATGGCCATTTGCCTGGATTCCTGCGGACCCTCATCAAGCATGGTGGGGAGTCCCCAAGCAAAGCATCTCATTCATCCAGGGCATAGGCATACCTGGCGCACACGCCCGCGTGGCAGCCTTATGGGTCCCTGGAGATCGGATCCCTCGGGTTTGCTCCAGCCCAGCCGCAGCTTTTCAGCTGCTTACTGCACAAGGGAACGTGCGAGCTCGAAAGTGAGTCCCAGTCTTGTGAGTAAGACTTGTGATTGATTCGTGGACGCTGGCTCGAGCCTCTCATGGCTCCCAGATTTGCCGAAGCTTTGGTCATTGGCATCTCCTCCTTTGCCTCGCTGCGCCATCTTCCTCATGCCAGGCGGGCCGCGGCCGTGGGCTTGGGTTCCTCAGGCAAACTGCCAGAGATTCTTTCATGTTTCGATGAAATGCACATATGGTTAGATGTCCGTAGATGTTTGTCTGCACTCCCGAGTTTCCGAGCTTCATTGCGCAGTTCGATGGAATACCACTTCAAATCAGCGTTGTTTGTGGCTATGCCCCGGAAACCGGCGTGGCGTTTTCGCTGTCCTCCCGTTCTCCTGTGGTTCGCACTTACGCAGGAGCGTGGCAGGTAAAGTAATCGGATGCAAGACTTGTTGTCTTCCACAGGCTTTGAGCCGTGCGCATGTTCGAGGTGGCCGTTGTGCTTCGCTGGGGCAAAGTGCACATGTTTCTGCCACAGCCATGAAACATGCGTGCGCAAATTGCGAAGCACATGGAAATCGCGGCCCCTTTGCATCCGCCCCGGCAAGATGGGCTATTCCCTTGCACTCATTGCGTCCAGGTATGTCGGTTCCTGGTAGAGACAACAGGGCTCAGGACTGAATCATGGCACGGAGATGTTTTCCAATTTACCGCACTCCTCCTGCATTCAAAGGAAGTGTTCTGGCACGCATGTCTGGGCAAACTACCCTGTCATTGCAGCTTTCACGTGATCCAGAGCTCAACCTGGCCTTTGGGCCCTGAATTGCGGGTCCTGTTTTTCCATTTTTCCCAAGCTTGGCGCTGGGTCGGCCAAGCCCTGGTGCGCCATTGCGCCCCTCATGCGCTGCTCTGCATGCTGCGAGCAAGAAGAGTACCTGGAGACGATTCAGGTGAGTGCACTGCCAGAAGCCAGTTCCGAGATAGAAAAGGCATGCTCGGAAAGTCTGTCCGAGTCCGCCAAGAAGCATGGAAATATCCTGATCGCAGACGATGAGCTGGTTCGGGGCATCTCAATCCATGCAACTTTGCACGGCGGCGGCTGTTTGTGGCAAAAGTCCCCCTGTGACATGAGTGAGGCTGAGAAAGTTAGTCTCTGGGAGAAATCGAGGCGTGTTGACGAGCTGGACATGTTTCTTTCGCATGCTTGGGCCAGCTCTGGCAAAGTCAAGTTTTTGGCTCTGCTGTTATACACTGGCAGCGGGTACTCTTTTCTGTTCTGGGCTACTGCGCTGATGAGTGCGTGCGGCCTATGCGCGTTTGAAGTGCTGCCAATGCCATTCGTTCTGTCCTTGGACACACTCGAATTTTCCGGCAACTGCCCGCTCGGAGTGTGGATGCTTCTCGCAGCAAACCAACCTAGTGGCTTTTTGGTTCCCTTACGTTGGTCTACTTGTCAAGGTTCCGAAAAGGTACCCTCCCTCCCACCAACATGGCACCAGACAGAGGGTCCCTTAAAGAGAAAATCATTCTTCCAGGGTTGTGTTAGTGGGAGGTAGGGGAAACAGGCTTATGGGCAACTTGTTCTTTGGTACGAATAAGGCAAACGCGCCGCAGCAACCACCGGCCTTCTTTGACTTTGTTGTGGACCTCCAAAGTTCCAGTTTTAAAAATGGGCTATTGCCCCAAAGATGGCGAATTCCATTTTGTGTGGGTAGTTTGAGGGTCTAGGTATACATGTCCAGCCACTGTTCCCAGTTCAGTTTTTGTCCAGGCCTTAAGTTGGGACTGAGGCTTACTTCTAGCTTCATTGCGCACCTTGCTGGCCTGGCTTTGAGCCCCTACCTGCCTCATAGAAGCTCCGATGCTACTACCTTTTACCTTTAACTTGTCCAGTGGACCCCAGTTTATCACTAGAGTAGGTAACTCCTTCAAACAGGTAGTTTGTTTAGTGGAACATGTGCATTTCACCAGCCAGCAACAAGTGGCACTTGTTTGGCAAGGGGGAACAACGACCCAGGAAAGTGCGACTGCTTCTTGGACGTGGTGTGCATCAATCAGCATGATCCTCACCTCTTGCACCGCGGGATTTATGCGCTCGGCGGGTTTTTGAGCCGGTCCAAGGAGCGTATTTCCTGGGGGTGTCTTTGTTGAGGATACTCTTGTTGGGCAGTTTTTGGAAAGGAAGCCAACATTTGGGGGGGTCCCCTGAAACAGACAAGGAGCTGCGGATTATCTGGAGCCCGCCTCTCTTCACTAGACTTTGGCGCCTCGCCCTAAGTCGATGGAAGGGGGGTCATCTGTGCACGTGGTTGGGCGGTCATCGGTGCACGTGTCCAAGTGGTCATCTGTACACGTGTCATGTTCAGAATTGATAGTAATTACCGCAAATCGGCCTGGTCATCCGTGCGATTGAAATTACGAAGGTTCGCAGTGCGACCGCTCTCTTTACAAACATCGCATGATTCCAGCAATGATTCAGATAAATTAGTCGAATGACCTTGACTATCTTTTCGGGCACCGCATGATTCCACAAGTGAATTCTCTTGGACTGACTTCAGGCCGGGTTTCTTCCGTCAATTCACGTAGCGCTAGCCAGGGCTGTTTCGATGATGATACGGTTCGGTACTGCAAGCTTTGCGACACCACCGACGCTTACCATCCACCCACCCGCGTGAGTTGGTGCGCGTGAGAGTCGAAGCTTGCCACCCCCCCCCCCCCCCACGCCCCCCAAAACCCCCCACCGCCGCGTCCCACCCCACCAACACGGACCATCCACCCACTCACGTGAGTTGGTTCGCGTGAAGTCGAAGCTTACCACCCCCCCCCCAATCCCCCCCAATCCCCCCCCCAATCCCCCCCCCCACCCCGTTACCATCCACCCACCAGCGAGTTGCTTACCACCCCCCCCCCTCTCCCCCCTCAACCCCGCGTCCCACCGACGCTCACCATCTACCCACCCGCGTGAGTTGGCGCACGTGAAGGTTACCACCGCCCCCCCCCCCCCTCCCCCCCCACCCCGCATTACCACCCACCCACGTGAATTGGTTCGCGTGAACATCGAGGATAACCACCTTCCCCCTCCCCCATCCCCCCCCGTACCGTGCGCGGATGACCGGACACCGTGCGCAGATGACCGCGTTCTCCGTGCGCAGATGACCCCCCTTCCAAGCCGATGTCGAGGCAGTTGAAACCGCATAGCCGTTTTAACTGTGTTTTTTGGGTCTTGAGATGTATGACATATTATCCCACAGATAGCCTAATTTTTCAGCCACCAAGGTGCATATTTGAGCTGGCCGCATTCCGCGCCGCCAATCCAGCAGGCAAGATTCGGTTGATGCCTCACTATTCGGTGGCGCTGGGTTTTCTTGGAATCTTTGCAGTGGCGATCCTCGCGATGGGTTTATGGAGCGCGCAGGCGCTGAAAGTTAGAATCGAATTCGGTTGGGCTCAATTCCTTTTCATGCTTGCCACTGCACTTGTACCTTCGCATCTTGGAAGGCGGGCGTGCTTGCAAAAGCAAAGTCTCATTGAGCAGTTGGAAAGTTTCACCCTGGATGGCGCGGGGTGCCGGTTGGACAGTGACCGGAGATTTATTTACGAGGCAGTGAAGCAGTGGTATGGTGGCCTGGATGAGTTCATTGGCTTTGTCCGAGGCCCGTTGCGACAGCAGCTTCTCCAATGCTGCTCCCAGATCCCGATCGACTTGCTTTTGGTTCTGGTCTTGCCCCTCATAGCCTACAAAGCCGAGATCTTGCTGGCCATGTGGAAGGGAGGTGTGCCGGGCAACATGTTGATCGCATTCTTTTGCAGCTCGCTTCTGGGCCTGAGCGGCCTTTGGACCGCCTTCTTATCCAGTGTGGGGCTTTACATGGTTGACCGCCTCGCAAAACCTTGGTCAGGAGTCTCTGCAGTTATTGATCGATCGCATCTTTGCATTTGTTATGATTTTGTTTGGCTTGCAAGTGGGGGTTGAGCCAAGCACTTCAGTTTTTGCGCTGCAAGCAGCGCAGGAATCCTGGACTACGTCCAGTCATTTGCTATCGCTGCTCTGTTTTCTCTCCTGTACTTTTTCGGGTATGTGCTCGATATACAGGCACGCCAGGGCAATGCGGTGATGACAGCTACTTGGGTAACTTGATTCCCAGCCACACGGTTCCTCCGACTTTTGGTGTGAGTGTGTGTGTGTCTGTGTTTTCTTGACTAATTCCCGTTTTTTAGCTTGCTTTGAAACGAAGCCAAAAGGAACACCACCATGTTGGTTGCCCAATTTTGGACACATACACTTTTGGATCTTTAGAGTTGTGTTTTTGGGACCAAGGCAAGTGCGCTGTGCCTGAGCGCGGCTTGGTTCTACTGGAGTGCACTCGCTGGGTGGGTGATAGAGCCCTTTGTCGGGCTGCCCCAGTACCGAATGCCCTGCCCGAAGCGCAAGCGGCAAACCGAGAGGTGAGGAATCCCAGACCTCCAGCTTTTTGGCTTTTGAAAGGAGCGGGGCTTCCCTTGACCTTCGGAGTTTCACCTGGTGAAATGCCCTTCGGCGAAATGCTGAAGGTAGAAAAGACAGAGTCAGCAGAGCTCACTCCAGGCTATTATACACAGTATATATACATATATGTATATACGTGTATATTGCACATAATCCCTTCAGGAAGGAGACTTCCCACACTGGGCGCATACTTTACCCAATCGGATATTTCCTTTTAGCTGGTACCAGCCTACTTACAAAATTATGCTTAGATGATATATGTTTTGAAGAAAGCCTTGCTTGCCACCCTCGTAGAAATGTCTGTCGTTTAGCTGCCTATACGACGGCCAACAAAGACGGATTGCGAGTTGAAGCCTCTAGTAAGGGGTTTTTTGAGTTCGGGAATGGGATGCCCTCGGAATCCAGATTTGGTTGTGCCCGGCAATTCAAGTTACCCATATAGGGTACCAAGGGAACCGCACTTTCAAAAACAGATCCACGGGAAGGGGGGGGGAACGGGGGGCGGGGGGAATCCAACTCATTCCCCCCATCGAACCGATTGCAAGTTTATAGCACTGGAAAACGTCGCCACGGCTCAACTTTGAAAGCGAGATCTGTTGACCCGCGGCTTCAATGGGATCGCGTAAAATCAAGACCTGCGTTTGGGAGGCCGATGAAGCTTGTTAAGAAAGGGGGGGTTTGCATGGTCTGGTGGTCATTTTGTGGGTTTCTATTATGTGAGCCTTTGCCGAGTCTACACCCCTCTATTTGTGAAAAATAGGCTGCTATATTTCCGGATCATCAGTGAAGGGAATGCCGTGGGGCAAAACCATCCACCATTTTTTGACCAGGAAGTCGGGGGGGAAAGGAACACGCACCGAAATCCAATATGAGTTGTGGGGCACATGCTGAAAAGAGTTTGTCGCTGAAATCGACCGTTTGGCTTTCTTTGGGTTTCGAGCAGTCTAAAAAGCAAAAGACACTGAGGGCTGCCGTACTTCTGAAATGTTCTTTTTTGGTTTGGTCTTAAACTAGGACACCCGGTTCTCTGTCCGCAAAGGAGACTCATTCCAAGGGAAAAGTTGTGTTTGGGTGGCCTTGGGGCGCCTATGCTATACCAACAGGCCGGTTGTGGCATGTGGTAGTGTTAGTCTATTCGCGCGAGCTCCCAACCTGGTGCTTTTCACGTGGATGTTTCTCAAAATAGAGAGCCCCTTCAAATTGGTTTCTTCCTTTTGGTTCCGTTTAAAGCCATAAAAAAGAAATCTGCCTTTTTAAGAATCCACCCTAAGTAGAGGTAAGCCTGCTATTTTTGTAGATGTTAACCCGATCAGATCTCAGCGCTTACCGTGGGCTGAACAACTCTATCCACGCACGAAAGACCCCGCCCGGGCGTTAACAGCCCAAAGGTGGACATGTGGAGTGGAAAGTTGGGTACGATGCCAAAAGTATTCCCGCTTATCACAGGTTGTAGCAGACCCCCAGAACATACGCCCGTCATGTTTTGCTTCTGTTCGGGTTCGTCTCGGGGTCAGGGGAAGTCTTTGACTTCAAAATCGTCATGGGAATGACCAAGGGCCCTCTTATGGCATCACCGCAACCACAAACCTGGATGGTGAAAGGCGGATAAGGGTCCCTTGCCTTGTTTCGGGTCGGTGGGGAACTGCCTTGAACAATTTGAACTGAGGTTTACATCTAGATCTGGTCAATCTGGTCAGGAGAAACGTCAGGACCCCTTACCCAGAAAGGTTCCAAGAGCCTCTCCTGGGTAGAGGGATGCTGGCAAGTGCTCAAAACCCAAGCGCAATGAGCGTTTTGCTTCCCATTGAGCACGGTGACGTGCGATTTTACCACGCCGGCTTTGGCTGTTTGTGCTGATCCACTTGGGAAGCAATTTCAGCGCAGCGGAAATTTGGGGTGTCCTCCAAAACGGTTGTATGTCTTCGGATACACTGAACATGGAACAGGGCCAGGTTTTTGGTTGAAGCATCCCAAATGCGGGCCAAGCAGTTGTTCCATTCGGCGTCTGGAGGGGTCCTGTTCGAGCCGCGCCCGCGGTGAATCCTGGCAATACACGTGTTGTGAAGCAACTAGCCAGCGAGAAGTGGACGGCAGGTTTCACTTTGGTTGAGGTGTTCATTTGCCAGTGGCCTTCATCGACTTTGAGAAAAGGACACCTGGGGAATGAGGGGTCTACTTCCGGGCCAAAATTGGGACACGCTTTGGTTGAAAGGGGCGTCAAGTTGCACCGGTGCCAATTCGGAGGTCCACCAGATTCATCAAAGGTTCCCCTTGAAGGGGGCATTGATCAATTTAAGGGAGGCCCTCTTTTGTGATGAGCTTGAGGCAACACACTTCCTCCGAAAAAAAAAAAAAAAAAAAAAAAAAAAAAAAAAAAAAAAAAAAAAAAAAAAGAAAAAAAAAGAAAAGAAAAAAAAAAGCTCCGGGGTGGACAGGAGGTTTTGAGGACTGCTCCCCCAGAGGTTGGTACCGCAGCACGTGTCCAGAAGCACATAGTCATTCGCCTTAGGGGGCAAATCATTCCAAGATGGGAAACTGTTTTCAGTTCCCTGACTTTCCATCAAGAACTTCCCTCCGGACAGCACTGAGACAGGCGGACTATGGGTCCCCAGCTGCCCAGTGGTGCCCTCTTTTTTTGGAAGGGTTGCCCTTTTTATCCCATGGCCACTGGGCATCTGAGGGTTAGAAGACATAAGTGTCCATGTTGCTTGTTTTGCTCGAAAAATAGATTGCCCTGGCTTACCTGGTGGTTTAATCATCTACCAAGGCCATCTGGCTGCGGGTCAAAAAAAGGTACCCAAAATGGAACCCTGGTAAATGGAAACATGGATTAAAACCTGCGGTCCAATAGATGGTTCACACCCATCTATTTCCCCTACAAGGACACCTACGGTCGACTCCGGATTTTCCTCGGAGGCAGGCTGAGCGCCTGGCGGGGCAGCTCGGGAGCTGCGAGCGGGTGACGCAGGTCCCGGAGGAGCTGACCGGAGAGCGGCGGGGGTTTCTGGACGGGTCGAAGGAGTGCCGGCAGTCTCCTCCAAATGGATTTTCACATGTTTTCGGGTGGCCGAAATGTGGAGCAAGTCGGAAAAGGTGAATTTCTGAAGCCACATGAGGGCCACAGCGCCGGGCCGTTTTAAACGAGATTCGGCGACCTTTTCAGGGCTTTAGAGGGAACCAAAAGTTAGAAGATGGAATTTGTGGGGGGAGAGGAGGGGGCGGCAGTGCAGGGAGGGAAGAAGTGTTGTTGGAAGCTGGGGGTGGAGTTTTGACTGGGCACGATTCCAACTCACTGGGCAAAGACAAAGATGTTTACGAAGGGACGAGGTTGTATTCGGACCCGATTTGAATCAGGCTGGGGTTCTGCTTCCAAACATGTGGATGGACAAGATCCCTCACCAGTTGGTGGGTGGCTTGTCCCAGTAGTTATAGGGTTGCCATCCATCCCGATTGGTGCAGGACTTTGTCCATCCACATGAGACTGCTCGTACCCTCCCACCAGCAAATAGACTGCCTTTCCAAGAGGACGATCGTCTTTTCAAACCGGGGCAGTTCCTCCAAAAGCATAACCACTGGGGGGCCTGCCACGGCGACGGTGTCCTTGTGGTGTCCTCAGTTGCCTAATAGCACCGGCTTCTTCCTCTTGAAAATCAGCCACCAACAACAGGAGCAGAGAAGGGGCCAGCCCGTTTTTACCATGGGAAACCAGGCACATAAGTTTCCCTTTGAGCACCATCCAAACGAGGGGGGGCCTTGTTCCGATTGCCCAGGATCCGCCAGGAGATGAAGAACCTGGTGGTTCGGGTCCGAAGGCCAATGAGGACGGGGTTCGAAGTTCGGAGTGGCAAGGGGCGGGACTAGGTTGAGGTGGTTTTCCCTTTTGCTTCCTCTTCAAAACAACCCCCAAAGAAAGTGCAAGCTCCAAAAAGACACTTGTTTGGCGCCCCTTCACCTCCCAAAAGGGCACCCACCCTTTCTGGGGCTGTTTGAAGGGGTTGCTGCAGTTGATGGCTGCCATTGCTGGTTTGGGCACCATGCTCAATTGTGGTCTTTCCGTGCAACCGCTTGCTGAGTTGTGTAGTTGCAGTTTCCGGTTTGTATTTGCTGACTTTTGTCCAATGCCAGTTTGTCCTCTGGACTCTTCAGAAGATCCGTGTGAGTTGTTTGCTACACTTGTAGATCATCGGCAAGCCCAGAGGAAAAGTGGTTTGTGAATCAGGCTTGACTCACTGGAAACGTTGGAGGATCAGCTGCTGGTGGTTTCGGCGGTCTATCCCACCATGCAGCAAATTCATCATCCTCTCCAGTGACCTTGCTAACGCGGTTCATCAAAGCATGGGCTCAAGTGAGACAAGCTGGAGCCACGCCCTTCGGGCGAATGACAAAGCAGTCTAAACGTAAAAGACCCTCCTCCGAAAGGTGCCTGAGACGCAGACACGCGCGGGCAGGGGCAAAATGATCAACGCAGAAACATCTGGTTTGAAATCTCTTGTCTTATTCACCAGGGTGCAAAGCCGGATCTAGCCAGACGGACAGCACTCCGATGTCATCCGACGTGTCCAGTGAAGGCTTGTAATTCCCAGGTCAAGCAAAAAAAAGCGCTGCACTCTGTTCCAGAGGCGAATACCCAAGGACCTTCTGAGGGCCTTGCAGTCTTGGCACCAAGGCCTCCGAGAAGTCCCCAAATGGTATCTCGAAATGTGGAAAGCAAGTCGAACAGTAGTTTGTGACTTGAACTGCGGGAAGTGAGACACCGCGTTCGTTATCACCGCTTGCCTCCTGAACATCAACCGCAACCCAGCAAGACATTTTAAGTCTGCCACAATACCAGGAAGAAGGAGACCTCTTCATCAATGCGCGCAGACTCGATCTGGCCAGGTGGCTGCAGGTGGCAGCGGTGTGTGTGTGTGTGGGTTTGTGCGGGGATCAGATGCTTGGGCAAGAGAGCCTTTGGATTGATGCAGATTGAGTGCTCGTGGTTCGGCCCTACTCGACAGATACAGATGAAGAGAGCGCGAAGGAGTTGCTGAAGGCAGCGTGCGAGGGTGACGCCCAAAGCGTTGTGAGTCAGTTGGAAAGGCCTGTGGACCCAGATGTGGAAGCAGTCGACCGGGACGGTGGTTACACCTTAATGACACCTCTTCAGGTAGCTGCTGCAAGAGGCCACTTGGAAGTCGCGCGTTGAATGCTGGCGGCCGGTGTTGGCATCAGCAAGAAAGGCATCGACGGCTGGACAGCTTGGCGGTTCACGCTTGCATACGGCCATCGAGTCCAAGTTTCTAGGTTGTGCGTACTGAATCGAGTTTCTCCTGCTGCCGAGGAGAAGCACAGACATACTTCTGCAAAATCCAAAAGGAGCTCGCCTGGAGGTGAAACGCGCTTACCCAAGCTAGTGTTGTAGATGTGTTAGGCTTTTAGCCTGCTAACAGAATCCGGGTGTCCTTTCTGTTTTGCTTCAAGCATCACCCGCCACACGGATACCCAGCCTCGCCCCCTTTCCATTCAAGAATCAGCCACTCCCTTGAAAAAACCCCACCCCCCACCCCCCCTCCCCCCCCGGGTGCCCTTTGGAGGAGGATTCACGGGACCTGGTGGCGGTGGCCGCCTTTCTGACCCACGGGGCCGAGCGCGAGATGTCCTCCCTGCCGGCCGTGGTGGGCATCGACGCGGAAGGCGCCGCGTCGTGAACATTCGCCTGCAAATTGAAGAAACCAACCTAAAGGGATCCTCTTCCGACCGTTCCGTAAAGATTGACAACTGTGGCTGCAGGTCAGAGGTGAGGCCCAAACAACCCCCCTCCCTGGATTTGCATTCTTGCGCCGCGAAATCCTTCCCAGTTTCCTGGTCATTGCAAATTGCGGCAAGGCTCTTGTAAGAGGCCCGCGAAAAGGGGTTGCCTGCCTGGGGTGCTTGGCATAGGGGGCAACAGAACTCCAAGGAAACTTGTCTGAACAGTACCCCACAATCCTCGTCAAATTTAGGGAAGAACCGCCCCGAAGTTGTTCATTTCCTTTTTCTCCTGCGATTGAAGACTGTCCCCTTTGTCCCTTGCCAGATATCGCATGGCCAGACTCAGTGCGGGTTTGGCCTTTTCGTTGGGCTTACATTATTTTTGACAACTGACCACAAGTTCCGGATGTCCGGGGAGGAGATTGGGTCCTGGCTCTTTCAAGTAAGTCTTCTTCTAGCTCGGCACACGGCCTGCCTGCGTCTGTTCCTAGTTGCCCTTGATTTCACCTTTGATATCCTTGGATCCTTTGCCAGTTTTAGGATAACAGCAAGCAGTTCTTGAACATCATTGTTTTCCTATGTGGTTTTAGTTGAACATGATTGTTTCCCCCCGTCAAGCAGTTCCTCACTTAGTGCCCGAGAAAGAAGCCATCGTGGCCAACCAGGCGACCTCGTGGTGCTTGACGACCTGCTGCTGACTGAGGCGAACCAAGTTTCGCTGAACCAAGGTGAAGCTGGCAAAACGAGGCGGTGCAGGGGTGGAGGGGGACTCTCCTATAGAACTTGGCGCTTTTTTTGAGGCTACGATTTTCACCTTGGTCGAAAGAGAAATCAAAGAGGACCCCACCATTCTTGGATTCCACCCCGTTTTCCTTTTTTCGTTGGGTGGGTTTCCCCACTAGAACTGCTTTTCTGCCCCAGGCCGTTGCGCAGCTGTGAGAAGTAATCTCAACTGCCTGGCTTTCAGGGGTGAATAGAGGAGGGATTGGCTAGTTTACCATTAAGGGGCAGACGAAGAAACGCACGGTTTCCAAGCACCGGCCGGCGGAGAAGAGGTCCGATTTGAAAGGAAGCTCCTCTACTTTGGCGAGCGAGTCCAAGCAATTGAAATGGGGTTTCTTCCCCCGGAAAAATGACGTGGGGTTGTCCAATTGGAACAGGATCTTGTTTAGGACAGCGTTAAAAAAGGCAGCCTAAAAAGACACCAACCAGTGTGCTTCAGATGGGGGGGCAGAAGGCCTGGCTTTGGAATTGTGACTTATTTCGCTTCCAGAAGTCCTGGGGCCAAATGCCTGCCCCAGATAAACACGTAACCGAGAACGCCGTCATTTTTAGAGGAGTCGTTTGGGGCTTGGACCCTCTTTTGGGTTCCTTCTTGGGGTATCGACACCTGGAGCTTGGGCTAGGTCGACCGAAGCTTCCGGATTTGGCGCGTCTACTTTGTGATGGTCCTTTGGGGTGCTGTCTACGCCCTGCGCTTGCTGATGTCCAGCACAGAGGTAAGCTGGAAAGGAGACGGACTAGCTTTTTACTTGTGGTTGGCTGCAGGTAGGCGTGTTTTTGGACTACCTTACTGGCATATATGTACATTTAAATATATATACATATATACACACACACACATGTATGTGTACTATGTTGTTGGATGTGATTGCGCACATACGTTCGGAAAAGTAAGGCCCTTGTGTAAGCCATGTGTCTACTGCCATTTTGTGTTTGTACGTGCCACGTTGGGTATCCAATCTGCTGAAGCATTTTTCTCTGAGGGGGGGGGTCAGATCCCTTTGGGCCGTTTGCCCAAGTGGCAACCTAGCCATTCGCCCGGAGGCGGATTTGCGGATGGTGGAGGACCTCTTTCACCTGGCGATGTTCGCCTATCTGGTGGTGCTGCTGCAATTTGGCGGAACAAAACTTGAAACGAGAACCACCACCACGGCCAAAACCTCATTTTGAGGCCTTTGTGGGATCAGACGCGCTCATTTTAGCTAGGTCCCCCTGTGTTGCCCTTTTACCCTTTTTTGGGGGAGGGTTCGCCTACTAAAATAGACTACAGAAAAAAATCGGGTACCAACTTATTCTAATTTGTCTACTGGAGGACCTAGTCAGGGTCCAAGGTCCGGATTGCGCTTTCGGGGGGCGCCCCTAAGGTTCGTCCTCATGAGCCGCTGCGACCCGGCGGCGCTGTGCACCTCCAAAGCTGCGCGCTGGTGGCGCCTTGCCCGTTTTCGGCGGGCATTTCTTTCTTTCTTTTTTGTGTTTTCACACACCCGTCCTGCCAAACTTGGGCCTTTTGGTGAGCGGTCCTGTGCCCTGACATGGGAAACACCCACATGGCGGAAACCTAGGGCCATCATTTGGGGCCATCATTTGGCTGCCAAGTTTCAGATACTCTTGCTTGTGCTTCGCTATGTTCCTGGATGCGTCGCTGGAGCACTGACTGACCTTGGTGCCTCGGCCATGTTTCTTGTTGCGAACGCGCCAAACCGCGTCGTTTGGGACGCTGGAACGCCTGGTGGATGTCGAGCCATTGAACGGGATCTTTATTGGATGGATCCCTGCTTTGTTTCGGGTCCACGCAAATGCAACACGGGCACATTTGTTGTTCCCCTCTTCGCACAACTTGCCTTGTGCTTATTCAACTGTTGTCGAACTGAGGTCTGTTCATCTAGAGGCAACGGGGATTTGCTTCGGTCGACCAATTGGGCCGAATGTCTAAGGCTGGTGCTCTTCGGGCTGGTGGTGCTGTGGCTGCTGTTGGCCAGCCACATGCCCAGCGACATGCCCTGGGCACCTCGGCAGTGAGGTGGTTTCCTGGGTGCGAGTCAATGCCATGACACTTTTGAGGGAGACCAATAGGAAAGCCACCAATTTGGGAACCACAATGTCCGAGAACTTGCCAGATCTCGATTGTGGCTGAGCTTTAAGCTTGTTTCACATCATTTGGGGATTTATGCCCCCAACTACGATTTCCGTGGTGCTCCGTTGGACCTCATAGCCATTGGGGTTTGCTTTTGACATGGGGGAAGCTCCAAATGGAGCAGTTTCCTTTTGGCCGCCCTCCAAACGACCCCCAAACATGCTTCCTTAAAACAAACTACCCGTTTGGGTGCTTCTAAACTTAGGTATGCCTTGTTGGGGTGGAAAGGGGAGGGACAGACGCATTGCAGAAGGCGCCTCTTGAAACTAGCAGGTTTCAGGTTCTATGTTGGTTTGTGAGCGGAAGGAACTTGTGGCCTGAGTATCCAAGTTCTGGGGAAGTTTGTGCTCAAGGCTTTTTGCTCCAAAACTGCCCTAAAATCGCTCCTGTGGGTGGACGACATCCTGCACCGCTTTGAATCCATGCAAACCAGTGTCTGTTGGTATATACAGGGAAATCATCCTTTCAGGGTTTCTGAACGGTGGTGCGAAATGGATGTCGTCCACCCACAGTTTGTGTCCTAGGGAAGGTGGGGCCGAGAGGAGGCCTTCAACCTGGGCTTGGAACACTCGGTGCTGGCGGCACTTCTTTGCAAGCTGAACTCAGGACGCGCAGCGAGCGGGAGGGGAGGGAGTCATCCTGCTTCGGAAAGACCCCGAAGGGGATCTCATTGAGAGGTAGCTTGTTGGACAATTTGATCTGTAAGGATTCAACTCTGAGCAAGGTTTTCTGAATGAATCCGAGGTGGACATTTAAGTAGGTTTAGTGAGGTGCAAAGAGTCAGTCTTGGCACGTCAGCTGAAAAGTTTCAGAGGCCTGGGAAGGCCAGAGGCCTGCCACACAGTCGGCACGCAGGAGCTGCCACTGACCTACGTGGCCTGAAGAGATAGATGGGTGTGGCTCACAATTAAGGAGCTAGGGTTACGCGGGTTTTAGTCTTTGGCTTTTTTTAACCGGGTGGTCACTTTGGTATCGGTTTGTTGAGCCACAGCCAGATGTTGGATTTGAATCGGACCCGCAGTCCACGTTGGCACTCATCTTCCCATGCGACGCATGACTGATTGCCGCCTACAAAAGGCTCGGCACTTGTGAGTTACTTTCTGGGGGCACGAAGCCGTGCCTCGTTCCGGGCAAATCGACCCGGTGCCACAATGTCTGGACAAGTCAGAGACAGTCCGGCTTCTTTGAGGCCGCGGATTTGTTTTCCCCTGCCAACATCCCCCTTGGCATTTCAGATGTTGCACTAAAAATCATATAATATACATATATATATATATATATGAGTGCTTTCAAACATAGATACCCCAGGCAAGCTTGGTTTCTTTTTGATTTTGTTGTCCAACACCAGCCGCACAGATCATCAGAGGTGTCCATGTTTCAGAATTCGGAATGTGTTTTCGAGAAAAGACTCCTTTGGCCTACACTTGGCTCGAAACTGGTTCTCTCTCTCGAGTTGCCCAAAGAGAGCGCTCAGACGAATGGCCGGGCGATGGCGCTCTTCTTGACAGCGAGTACTGCCATCCCCGTGGTGTTTCAAGCGTCCTTGGCGTCCGCGTGCGAGAAAAGGCTCGTCTGAAGCGTCGCCTTCTCAGCAAAGATCTATTGTTTGGGGTGGGGCATGGCAAGAGCCAGCCTCCCATCCCGGCTCAACAGCCTATTCAGCTTCAGATTCCCAGGTTTGCCCAGATAATTCCACCCGCTTACCTCGATTTTGTATTTTCCGTTGAGATAAAAGCAATAAGCTCTTTTCCCCAAGAATATTGTTTTGGTGGGACACATGCAGTTCAGATCCGGGCAAGCTGCTGGAGAACAAGTTGTGCTAAATCCAGGCTTTGCTTCTGGCCAGACGCCTTGCTTTCGGTTTGGTCTAGGCACCCCGCCCCCGCAGCCCGTACACCTTAAGGTGAAAGTACATGGAACAGTTCGCCCAATGTGGTAAAAGAAAGGGAATTGTGCATCTACATCCCCCTCCCTCCCCGGTCCCACCGCATATCTCGGCGTAGGACTTGTGCGCTTGCCTACCGCAGCTGGAGACGTTGGACGATCTGCCTGTGGCCGAGTTTGATTCGTCGGCACCTGCAACGCCACCAGGGGCTGTGGCTCGGAAAGCACCTGGAGAGACGGTGGGTTGGAGGAAGCAGCGTCCAAAGCCCACGCAGGTCTGTTGCCATTTTCACATTGGAATGTGTCAAAACCAGATTCCTTTGTGCTTTTGAGGCCCGCAATTTGGACACATGGCTGGGGAGGAGAAAAGGAACTGGGGTGAGCGGCTCGCCTCAGACAGCGTTTGTCAGCGAAGATCTGCACCTGGATTGAAGGAAGCAAGGCGACGCGAGCAAAGCTCGCACAACGCCATCCCAAGTAACTCAAGCCACTCAAAGAATTCATGCAGATGTGATTATTCGTACCTTCTGCCGCAAGAGTGGGACTCGGAAGAGGCCCCAGGTAGATAAGAAATGATTGTTTTGACGGGGCTTTTTTCAGATCTTTCAGGTTCTACGTTTCTACTTGCTTTTGCGAGTTATCAACACGTGCGAGTAGAACTCCTTACATGTTGTTGGCGTCCAATTGGGCTTCGACTGGTGTTTTATCGGGAGGAGGGAGGGAGGGACCTTGGGAGAGAGAAGGCAAGCTTAGATTCATAGCCTGTGCATGATTTTGTGGGGCACGACACATCTCAGATCGCAATGACTGTGTGAAAAATATGTGTGATCCACCAGGTTAATCCGCGTTCGACACGACTCGAAAGCAGCAACAGAAGCCAGCAAGGACTCGGCTGCGTTTCGGCTTGGACCAAAATGGAGTCATTGGAAACCATCCCAATTGCTCGTCTTCATTTTTTCGGGATAGCTGTTCCTTCGATATAAAGCACGCAGAGAAGCAAGAAGAGAAAGCTGGCGGCACGCGAGGCAACGCTGGCTGATGAGGATCGAGCCTCGGAAGCATGACAGCCTCTCACCCCACAAACCGCCAAATTGGAGTAATTCAGTCGCCAACGCTGGCCGCATTTTGCTTTTACCCACGTGTCCGCGACAACTGCGGAATTCTGTCACTTGCAGAGAGGCAAGCGCGCCCAGTTTTTTCCTGTCCAAGATGTGTGTCCTACCCGCAAGCCATGCATTGTTCCCTCAGGGTTAGTGCAGGCTTTGCTGAGCGCTGTGCTGGAGATTTCAGCCCGGAGTTCATGATGGCTTATTTCTCATCAGTCAGCCGAGAGGGAACGGCCAATGCTTTGCCAGGTCATGATTACAGACCCTGCGCCATCACCTGGGTAATTCGCCCAAGTTTTTGCTAAGCTGCAGCCAGGTTGCTCAGCTTTTTTGCCATGGCAAGACGCCCTTCGAGGGCCCCGAATCCTATTGCTTTCTTCAAGAGCCCGAGGCTGTTGGGGCGACTCGAGCGTATTCTTTGGGTGAATATTGGCCTAGGACTGGGAAAATGAACCCCTACCCTTCAAACCAGCGGCTTTATTTGAAGTCTCCATTTGACACGTGGACCCCCTTCAGGATTCCTGGATCATTACTTGAACAGCGATTTGGATGTCTATCTGGATCTCTACCTCGCGCAAGACTCCGCCGCCGCTTGGCGACCTTTCTGGCGGCAGCAGAATTGAGCGCCATACTCCGCTGCAAATCAACATGGATCCCAGCCAGACCCTCGAAAGGATATTCCGCCAAACATGCTGCTGAGGGTTTTGCGGGTTCCACTTTAACCAGCAGGGGAGCATGAAGATCGCGATATCGTCCCCCAGTCAGGCTCCTGTCTTTCAATCCAACAGGATCTTGAGCACATTTGCTGGAAAAATGGATATCCGCAGCTTTCTTGCATGTTATCCTCCTCTCCAAACAGATGATGAGAAAATGTCTTTTGCATGTAGGACATCTTGTTTGGGCATTTGGTCTTCAGTCATTTGTTTGCTTTTGGATAACCAAAAGGTACCTCCAAAGACAGAACTTTCTCGAGATCATGGTGCAATGGCCATCTGCAGAACCCATGTCATGGTATGTTGATTTGCCTTGGAAGAACAAGTTCGCCTTTAGAGCTTTCTTTCGATTTCTACGTGTCTTTCACCGAGTTGCAGGCAGGCCGCTAGGATCTATTTTACTTTCCTACCAACAAACGTGGATGCACAGACCCCTTTTTGGGACGACTACTTTCCTGTTGGAAAGGGCTTCTGTGAACTTCCATGGTAGGAGGGCAGTTTCTCCTGCTGCTCTGCAATATGGTTGTACATGGAATCATTGGGACAGGTAGCTGGCAACCTGGCAAGCAACACATGACAGGAGGTGCCTTCAAAGTGAGCATTGTCTGATATGTCAGCGGCAATATAGTTCCAACCCCCCCCAACCCAAACCCCCTCTCCGCTGTCTCTCCAAAAGAAGACCCCAATAAGGCCGTACTGAGGCCTCATTCGGGGCATTCAGGGCAAGGGGCTGTCCGGCAGCGCACCGAGTTTTGACCAAACAAATGGCGGAACCGAGCCTCATCTTTAGAACGACGATCGCCCGCCCTTTGGAGTTCCATTTTGATTTGCAGCAAAGTCCCCAACGTCGCACCTTCCGCAAGGACAGGCCAAGCGCTGGAGACGGGCTGTGCGGCACGCTGCTGGTGGCACTTCGCGAGGCGGCAGGCAAGACTCCCTGCCTGACAGGAGCTTCAAAATGGGGGCTGGCGCAGATTCCCTGCCTTTTCGCGCTCGGTGTCAATGAAGTTTTTTCGCGCAGAGTTTGGGCCGGTGAATTCCCAGATCTTGTTTTTGCAGTTTTCCCCTGGGTCGCCACTCGAGATGGGGCATGGTGAGGCTCCAAAGCTATCCACAAAGACCAACAAGGGAAATAGCAAGGGATGCGTTCTGGACTTTGTTCAGGGAAACGTGGATTCCAACCAGGTTTGTGGGTCCATATCCTTTTTTTGAGCCACCCGAATATCTATCCTTTCATATCTGAAGCCTCGAGGTCTCAGAAGCATTGACTCGGGGTGGCCCTAAACTCAGCTTGCACCAAAGAACAATCATGTGGCTATGGCTCAAAATTAAAGAGCTTACGCAGGTTTTCGGCTTTGGTTCCATTTACCAAGGTGCCATTTACATGTTTTTAAGCCACAGCCATGTGAGCATCTTCCGATTGGGTTCCCATGGAACGGGCCCGTCGCAAAATCGGCCGGCGCAGAGGCCTCTTCCGGGACGAGCCCTCTGAGCGGCAGCTGCTTTTGGAGCGGCTCAAGGCGGCCCCCAAAGGTGCGCGGCGGTGAGAGGTCGGATGCGTATGGGGCGTTTAGGACTCGTGGGTTTGGAGATTGTTTGGGACTGGCTTATGAGGACTTATGAGGACTTATGACTTTTAGCTGGCTCTGGTTTTTAGGGTTTGGCCCTTGTTTTTGTGGCGGGTTCAGGTGTTTGCTGGAGGTTTTAGGGAGGTCCACGGATGATTTTGCCAAAGAGCAATTTCGCTATTCGGGGGGGACCTTGTTGACCTACAAGAACGAGCAACGGAATATTGCCACAAGTCTACTGTCAGCTATTGGAATGCATGGGGGGGCGTTTCCCCGTGTGACTGACAAAAGCAGAGGGGTTGAAATCCCCGCATTCTTCGATCTCCCCCAATGGTCCAGGGCCATATATCTCATTGCCCGTAGCCAGATCGCGGAGAGGCACCCAGGCTGCATGTGGGATCATTCCGGTGGTGTATGGATTGGTTTTCAACCACGAGTTCCTGGCAGCTCAAGTGACACGGTGAGCGCCCAAGACAGCTGGATTGAGTATTGGACATGCGGTATAGGTGGTACGACCTTTGTTTGGTGGTTACAGTATGGCGCAACAAAACTCAAATCTTCATAACCACATAGAACCAAATGTCATGGGCTGTGGGCGCTCACGTGGCGGCCCTCCATGAGATCGGTCGAACGTTTCTAGCGTCAATGGGGAAGCTCCTCGTGACCTCCCAACCGCAGGATGCCAACCACTGGCTTTTGGTTGATTCCCTAGTGAGATCCAGCAAGTACGCTGCATTGTGGTTCTAAACATCATCTTGGCCCAGTGAGTTTCCCGTGGTTCTAGGGGTTCATTCCCCATTCTTTTCAACCATCGTTCTTTTCAAAAACCAGCTGTTTCCCCTGGAGTTCTGATGGTTTTCTGGAAAGAAGGATCCCTGGAAAGAATGGGGAAGTGTCCCCTAGAATGGTAGGGGAAATAGGTCGGGACGGCCAGGTGAGGCGCTTGCGCCGAGCCTCTCCATCGCTTCGGCGCCACCAGGAGCACGCCAGGCGATTGCGTGCGCACAGCAATTTTTGTTGGCCCCTTTAGCAGGGGAGAACCAAGGGCACCGTGGTCCATACTTACCGGATTTGGTGGTGTTGGTGCACCTGGTGAATTCATAGGGCGGTTGTCCCACTTTTCAGGGAAACAACGAAGAAAGGCTCTTGGTTTGACACCAGTCCACAATCCAAGGTTTTTCCATGTTTTTCCCAAGAAAGCACAAGGGCGTCATGGCGTGTATCTATTTGACTTCCATTTATCACCCTTTTGGTGCTGTCAAACGTCACCAAGCTGCCTATTTCACATTTTAGTTTCCCGTAAAGCTTAGGACATAGTGTGAAAATGGCGACTGACGTGGCCATGGGTCAAAATCCCGACCCGCAGTGAACATCCCAATCCCCACTAAAAATATAGGTTCTAAATGGGTGGTGAATTCACCAATCCCCACCAAAATGGGAGGGATCCACCACAACGGTTTTGACCACCGCAGCCACATGGTGCGAGTCGTTCAGGTGACGCCCAAGGGCTTCAAGTTCAAGCTGGCGCCCCGCGAGACCGAAGGCGGGAGGATGGCGAGGTGAGTTGGTTTTTTCTGCCTTTTTTTTTTCCGGGGGGGGGGGGGGGGAAGGGGGACTTATGGCCATTTTGTGGGTTTTAGGCACGGCAAATTGCATCCGGTTGATATGTGGTTGGCTGATGTTTCAAGAAGTGATCTTGTCATGCACCAAATATGCCCGTAGCAAAGCCTTAGGGTCTTTTGTGGGATCTTACAGGTGGTTCGCGGTTCGCGGGATGGGGCCACTTTGTGTAACGCGATGGCAAAGTCGTTGGGGCACTTTGGGGCAGAAAGGCAGACTGCCCGTTCCAAGCCTGTCGCCAGGCAGTGTCCTCACGCGCGGCGCGGAGCCCATGGCGGGCAACGTGCTCAGCGCCCTGCGCGGGCGTCGAGGCGCCCGGACCGGAACATGGACATGCCCAAAAAAGTGGGACGGGATATGCCACATGCCTAATGCTGTTATGTCATATTTGTCTCTGGAAGACTGATGGACTACATGCAGAAATCGCCGCACTGGGCTTCGGGGAGCGAGAGGTCGGAAGAGCACGCCCCGGAGCTCAATTCCCCTGAAGGCGCTGGATACAAAAGCAACGCCAGACACCAGGTGCTTTTGGCTTGGGGCTCTTTTATGTAGAAGTCCTCAAGTGGGATCCTTACTTGCCTAAAAGGTCGAAGGGCAACACCTATGCTTCCTCACCGGTCAATTGCCGCATGAAAGACGTCTTCACCACGGGGGAGAGGACTGTCTTCCATGATGGAATGTCCATTATTGTGTCAAGGTGGAGTGGGTGTTTTTGCATGTTTTTGCAGTATGCAAGAGAACTTTTGGAGGTTCTTTTGCAACTTAGACTTTGGATGTAAGCCAGATAAGTCATTGATGTGGGGCTCGGTAGCTTTACCAGCAGCAGTCACCATAGTCGTGGTGACCGGGGCAGGAGGAGAAGTGGAAGCACTCACAGCGGAAGCAGAATGCATATACAACAACGGCGCATAACTACTCGTGAGTATGGTGCATGCTGTGACCATAGCAGTGATGGAACTTAGCTTCTTAACAGATTAGTAGCTGGATCATGAGCAGAAGCTCCAGCAGTCACTGCAAGCCCAACGGCAAAGCATATCACACACAGGCAGAGGGCCAATCTGGCCACTCCTCTCAGAATGAATATCCGCGATTAAATGAGGCACTGCGCAAGCTCATTGTGACAATGCAGCTGCAACAGGCTTCTGTACTGCCCTTTGTTATGTGGACTCCTGCTGGTTTGCTCGGCATGGGTCATGTGCAGCTATGCCCCGTTGCGCATAACTTTTGCACAACCGAGAGTAGCGCCGCTCTTCCAAGTGCGCGAGCAGAATTATGCAGTGGGTTTGAAGGCTCTGGCCGAGCGAGTTGCAATGTGTTGAACCCCTGATTGATGCTTCAGACGTGAACAGTGAAGTAGCTTGAAACATGCGACATCTGTTCTGCCGTTCTAACAAAACTGTGTGGCTCGATCGCGCGCCCCAGGCATTTTGCCGCACAAATTGGAGCGACCTCACACAAATCAGGCTTGCGACCTCACCCATGAAGCTTGGGGATTCCTATATTGCATGTTTTGCCCAGAATGTTGCACAAGCAGTCGGGAAGTGGCGACCTGAAGAAGCCAAGCTTTCTGCCTTTTGGCTTTGCCCTCCTGTCTGTGGCTGTGCAGAAGGTTGTGGGTCTCCTTTCCATTGGTGGCTCTGGCATCCGTTTCAAATCCACCGGACGTTTTTTTGCAGGAGTGGCCGCAAACAGGAGGGTGCCCTTCTATTTGCTTTCCTTCCTGGAGGCTCTAACGGGTACGCCACTTAAGTGTCTTATATGTTTGTGAAAATTTCCTTGGAAGTGATTTGTTCATTTTCCCCCTTGCTTTGAGATGGACATGTGGAATACCCACAGCTAAGTTTCTCTGTGACTAGGGACGTAGCTCCCGTCCTGGCCGGGCCTCCCTGCGGGCGCCAGGCGGTGAGGAGGCGGTCTTGGACTTGGACATCCGGGAGTTGCTGCGGAGAGCGGAGAAAAGCGAGACAAGTTCGAGGCATGATGTTTGAGGGAACCCTTGGTTTGGTATCTTTAGTTTGGTGCATTTTGCTTGGATGTTAGGACTTTACACCTTTTTGCCAACTAATAGGTTTTTAATTAAACCACTAAAAGTTAAAATCTTTAAGCAGGGGAGCAGAAAGCAACCGAGTTTAGAGGAAAAGTAAATGGACACCACCTGGGCCTTTGAGCGAACCCAGCCTGGAGTGTAGACCCTCGTTCCCATTCCCCCCCCCCCCCAAATTCCACAAAGCCTTAAGGGTAGATTGTGAGGAGGTATTTTGGCGGTTGTGCTACAGCCAAATTCATGGCGAGCTCAAACGGCTGACCCTTCGCTGAGCATGACGCTCATTTCAACATGCTGGCCTGCCCATCGACATTTGAACAACCAATGCTTCGCTGCTATGGTGCAGCGTGGAGGGCAAGCATGAATCAGCATGCTTCTACTTTGTGTCGCCTCGGATCCATCCGAATGACCAAAAAGCACTTGGAACATTCGATCAATTTGAGACTGACCATGAGCATGTAGTTTCACTTGGAATAGTCAGCGTTTACTTCGAGGAGGACCCAACAAAAGGCCACTGCCAAAGGGCCTGCTCGGCAAGAATGGGCTGGTCTTTCATCCCGTGCCACGCGTCGGCCTCGCCAGCAATTGGGAACATGACCATTTTCGACTCAGGGAAATGAATCCGGGGGGGGGGGGGTGGATGGGGTTTCCTTTCGTGTGGACGGGTCACCTGAATCTGAAAGCGAGATTCCCAAGAGCAGAAGAAACGTTCATCATGTGGAGAAGATAAACATGAACCCAATCCCCTGACCTCGTGATGTATCATGTGCCCGTGTGCCAGGTTGTTTCAGTGGTTGTCTGAAAAAAGGGGTGCCGGAAGGCTTAAACTCGAAATGACAAGCCATACCCTTGAATTGAATTCCCGATCCCTCAAGCAACAAAACGTTTGCAGCCTTGGGATACCCCCAAAGAAAGGACAACTAGGAACAGGCGCCAAGGAATTTTCAGTGACAGATCTCAACAGATGCTTTTTCAGTGGGTGATCTTCACTACCCCAGTTGGTGCAAGACGTAAGAACCACTGCCCAGACAGCAAAAGCAGCTCCATGCCAATATTCCATCTGCAAGAATATGTCATGAACACAGAATCTCTAAACCTGGACATATCGCAACCTCCTTTTTCATTCTCGGGAAAAAGACCAAGCGATCTTGATCATGCAAGCTTGTTGAACTCCGAATTGAGCTCACCATGAATTTGGCTCCAGCACAACTCCAAAAGCTGGCCAAAACAGGTAGGCAGTCGCTCTGTAGGCTTAATGCTCTTGTCATTTTGTCAGGGATTGTAACTTGCGAGCGCAGCCATGGGGCGTGTTCGAACAGTCACTGGTGAGGAAGTGATGTCAGACAAAGAGTTCGCCGTGTGGTGGAAGGAGCACCACCGGCTCGGCGGCAGCTTCTGTGATGCGCTTCGGCGCCACGTAGCCGGACAAATGCAGATCAGGAATTTCCGGCGGCTCATGCTCAGCTGGGAGGATGAGGCGCTGAGAGCGGAGAGCCCATGGATGGATGCAGACATGGTGGCGGTGGTTCGGGCGTACACCGCTGACGGACAGGATGAGTTGCTGAATGCTGTGCACATCGGTCAAACAGCGGAGGTGGCGAGCCTCTTGGATACGCCTCATGACCCAGACTTTGAATCCGGTGAAGGCTCTAGTTTTACCCTTTTGTATTTGGCCGCATATCATGGCCATGAAGGCGTTGTGCGCTGCTTGGTGGAAGCTGGTTCTGACATGGACAAGGTCACTAAGGAGGGATGTACGGCCATACATGTGGCCACCCTGTACAACTACAAGGAAATTGTGCGCTGCTTGGTGGAAGCTGGCATTGACAAGGACAAGGCCAACCATGGAGGAGAGACGGCACTGATTTTGGCCGCTCTTCATGGCCGCATGGACATTGCACGCTGCTTAGTGGAAGCTGGTGCTGACAAGGACAAGGCCAACCCTGTTGCAAGCACGCCTTTGCATTTGGCGGCCATGCAGGGCCACAACGACATTGTGCGCTACTTGGTGAAAGCTGGCGCAGACAAGAACAAGACGAATGAACTCGGATACACGCCGATGCAGATGGCTGCCAACGGTGGACACAAACACATTGCGCAGTACTTGTCGAAATCTGGGACCAGAATGTGCGCACTTCAATGACAAAGAGCGGAGAAGTTGCTCTTGTCACCCCCGACATCCAGGCCCACAAATGTTGGGGCTCGGAAAAGTAACGAGCCGCGGGTTCTTGTGCACGGTTGCCTTTTTCCATCAAGATCTTTCCATTTCGCGATGTGAGACCAGTTTTGTTGAAAGTCCGACCCATTGATCCAAAGCGTATTGTTTTTCATGGCGAAGGTTCCGAGCCTGGGCGGGGCTTTGCACCAGGTGGTTTGTCGAGGGTTTCATCCGGTGATGCAGACTTCGTCCTTGTTTGGAGCTGTTGATCCGCTTGGAAATCGATAAGAGACTGTTATCCTTGCAACCGAGTTGCTCGATCAGATTCCGGCGCGTGGCTTTGAGTTCTGGTCCCGCTTTGGATGGGTTTAGCGTTCTGCTACCTTAGTGCTACCTGGGTAGAGATAGGTGCCAAATCCTTCTCAAGATTTTTGCCAGCCCAACGGTTCCATGTACCAAAGCAAGCAGGGGATACCAGTAATACGGCTTGATGTTCAGGTTTAAAGCCTGAGGCCTAGAGGTAAACACCAGAAGAAAACAAATCAGAGAAGCAAAGCTGGAGGCCTGGTTCCATCGATCCTTGGGATCCACCTGCCAATAAGGAATTGCGACAGTTGAAATAACACAGGGGGTATCATGAAAATCGGCGAACTAGGGGTCAAGAAAAATAAGGGAGCTCAGCGAAAAGGCAGAAAAATAGGGGGTCAATCAGGGAAAATCGGCAAACACCCTTTTTCATCCATTTTGTTAAGAATATGTTTGTGTTCCCTTGCTGTTTTTAAAGGGAATCACTACCGGACATATATTATTTTTTCCCAGGGGGCTTAAGCAAATGGAAGTCTTTCAGCTTTTGGAATTTGGAGTCTGCGGCCCATGGCGCGACTGCTGGCCTTTTTGGCGAAGTCCGTTGAGGGCAGCTGCTTTGTGCGCCTCAAGACTCCTTTGGAGGAGACGTGGGGTCACACTGGGGTCACCAAGCAGTTCAGAGGTGTCCTGTACCTCAGAATCCAATCCATATTTCAGGTTTTTGGAGTTGTAGAAGTTCCTGGGTCATCGTTTGGGACCATCTTCCGTGTTTGCCTCGACTAAAATGATGATCAAAGCCAACTGGAATCGTAGGATTGAACGTTGACTAAGCATGGTTGGGGGGCCGAAATGGAAAACCTGGTAAAGACGGGGTGTCTTACATTTCCTCTGTTGGTAAGTGGAATCAATATGGATGTGTATGTGAGTGTGTGTGTGTGTGTTTTGTTAAAGGTACCCCTTTGGGCTTGTTAGTAGGGAACATGCAAATGATCCTTGCAAACCATTCCACACAAGGCCGACAAATGGTCAAGGCGTTGCCGGCAAAAGTGCAAAAGGCCATAGAAGGCCATAGAAGGCCCCCCATTTGCCACAGAGCTGTGACTTTGAATCAGTTTCTCAAAGGCCTCTGAAACTGGGTGTTCTTTTGTGTCCACTCCAAGACGCCGAAGTTTGACCAATTCAAGCCACCCCAACGGTTTTTTTTGCCAAGGTTGGACACCATAGCACCCATTGGCTTCCATACTTACCTGGTTCGCTTTTCCTTTCGCTCCTCGCAAGTGGAAACGGATGCTTGCGCGTGCTTGAGCCCCCGAAGATGGTGCTCTTTGTGGTGATCGTTTCTCTGTCAAAAGACCTGGACTTGGACTCAGAAAGGCAGCCTGTGATGTGGATCGCACTTTCCGGGAAATCCGTTTGCGCATCAGACACTTCCCTGACTTTCGTCTTGAGTCTCGAGGTTTCGCTTTTTCGTCTATTTTCGAGCGGGGCTACAACGCCAAGTGCCCGAGAGCAGAGATGCGGGATCCCAGCTGTGTTTTGCCTCCTGGGAAAGTAAACCCTGGCGAAAAGAAGGGCGCGGAAAATCAGCGGGTTATCAGAAACAAAACCTTGCTTTCGGACGAGTACATAATCTATTGGGTTAGATGTGTGGTTTGTATGGCTTAAGTAGGGGGTGCAATTTGCAAGCCCTGATTGTTCCTTCCAGAACGTAACCAGGGTTTTTGAGTCGTATCACTGGCAAACTCTTGGCTTCATCACACCCCGCTTTTTCCAGGGCTTGGATGTGCGACGAAGGTGGGCTCAGGAAGTGTTGCCTTTTGAAGTGCCTTTTTCTTGCTGCTTGCATCCACTGAGCTCTGATTGGGCGCCTGAGATGACAACGTCACTCGCCTACACACACAACTAGATCGTCATTGTGACGTAAGCAAGTAAACGCTTCAGGAGGGTGAACATTTATACCTCTTACTTGTTTCTGCAAAGCAGCCTCGCCGTTCCATGTCTTTGTTTGCGGCAAAACGAGCTCGGGAAGGTCTTTTACTCGGAGCGTTCCGGAAAAGCCGGAGCTAGACTACAAATTTGGAAATTCCTGGTTTTCCTCTAGGAGTAACTCGAGATTCGTTCCTTGTTTTTTTTTAGGAGACACCTCTCCTTTGTGAAAAAAGCATCGGTTTGGCAGGGCCTCACCTGGAGCTACAGCGAGGTCCTGGAGGCGCTGCGCGCGCGCCGCCGCGCGCTGGGCGCCTTGAGCGCCTGAGAAGCTGTGAGCGAAGCCGGTACGCGGAGCTTCCGCTGGTTTGGTGTCTCTAGACAGCCCGGAAAAAGGCACCCTGAAACTGACCACATTGCTTTGTCATGCTTGTTTATGGCCCATGTTTCTTTAACCGTGTTTGGCTATTTGACTTCCCCTTTGGACTTAAAGGGAAATGGTCATGCGTGGCATGATAGACACGTATATATATATATATAAACATATGAACACATACAGTTCTATGTGTTACTCGAAATGGAGACCACCCAAAGTGAACCTGATTTGGGGTTTATGTCAGCTAACTTATCAGCGTATGTCCACGTGTTTCCCGGATCAAGGGAGGAGAACCAGTCATGGAATCCTCTGGCAGAAGAGTCCAGAGCCTCCCAAAGGATCCCCAAGTTGCCCCTGACAAGGCCAAGCCCGTGAGCAGTTGTGACTGAGGGGAAAGCCCTTGATGGTAAAGCCCTGAGAATCAAAAAGACCTGGTGATTCCAGGCACTTGGCAAGCGTCACGCAATGTGGTCAAGGAAATTCCGGGAGGTGTGCAAGATCATTTGACGGGAACCGGGTCCTTGGAAGCCATTTTGTGGGAAGCTCCCTCGATGCAAGCTGTTCTCGGCGTACGACCTCAGCTGAGCTTTGCGTTCCATCAATTCCCGAGCTGAACACCGAACATTTGCGACCCCCTTGATCGATAGGCCCAGAGAGGCCCAAAGGCCGTTGGAAGAGGCCAGCTTGTTTTGCCTTGGAACTCGTCAATTCAAAACAATCAGCTGGCTGAACACTTTCCCTGTGACGTCCCGAAACAGAAGCTCGAAGGTCCAGCCCAAAGAAGCATGAAGTGCAGCGTTGTTTGTTTTATAGACCAAAGTATTTGCTCGACTTTCTGCGACGCGGGTTTTGCCCGGAGTCGAAATCGACGGGGAGGCGCGGCACGTTTGGAGTTTGTAGTGCGAGCATGGCTTGCGCGCCGAGCATACGCCTTGGTTGCCGGACGAGAAACGCGGTGTGCGGCGGGGATTGGCTTACACTTGCCGCCAAGTCCACCTTTCTTTTCTTCTCCGCTGGACTCTCCTTGGCCGCGGATGCACATGAGATGTCTAAGATACATACAACGAAACACGCATACAATTACAGACATTTCACAGACATGATATGTGTATCTATGTTGATACATTATGTATGTACATGCGTACTTCCACATGCATACACGTATACACGCGTGAACACGTATGAAGCTTGAATCATGGATCGCTCAGTCTTTTGCGCCAATCGGTGACCTTAGGGTCTGAAAAAACAGTTCCTGGCTGTCAAGTGAGCTGCCTTCTGCCTTGAGTTGGGGTGATGTGTGGGGAGACATGGGGAGCCTTGTCTAGAGGGTCTGGATGACAAAGCTCCATGTTGAGAGATGTGACCTTCAGGAAATCCGTGGCCAAAAATTGCTTTCCCACGCTTTGTTTAGACTGACGCATTTGCCTTTCCATTCGCCGGGACGGGCAGGCAGCTCAGGCCTTTGGGGCTTGGGCGTGGCGAAAACCGCCGCCTGCCAAGGTGGTTTTCCTTGGTTTCCCTTCGGAACATGGGACTCACCAAGTCGCAGAATTCCCCAGAGAAGAGATGTAAAGCTAACGCCTCAAGGCCAAGCCAACCCTTGAGGCTCCGCTCTTTTCCGTAGGAGGGGCTGGGCGGTTGCCAGAACCCAAGACCTTTCTGGCAGATTGAGCATCGCAAACTCAGGGCGATTTCCCCACACCTACAGACCAGTGACCCGGTGGTAAAGAGCAAGCCAAGTGAAAAGACTTGGCCAGCCACTGGCACTGGGTTCGATCAAATCCAAGCCATGACAAAGCGATTGGACCCCTTGGATTCTATTCAAGCTAGTTGAGGCTTTGGGACCCCAATTTAGTCGCTTTGTTCTAGAATTTGGGACAAAGCGATTGGACCCCTATGAATGCTAGTCAAACACATTGAGGCTTTGGGACCCCAATTTAGTCGCTTGCCTCAGCCGTGCTGTGGGGGTCACTCGGTTTTGGGACGCCGGCGTCTTCCCGGCAGGTTCACCTCTCTTGAGGATGCAGATGTGGCGCCGGCCTCGGAACGAATAGCGGGCCTCGAGGAGCCGAGTCATGGAGCTCCTACCTTTCAGTCTTCAATCATTTGGCCTCATTATTTTACCATGATCAAAGTCACCACCTAGGTGGTGGGTTAAAGGAAAACAACCCCAATTTGCTGACTTTGATAACCACCAGAAACCGTCAAAGCAATGACCCCAGAATCATGGAGGGCAGGTTTGACAAGGCGAAATGACCCGAGGAGGGTCCTGCCAGCCAGGCGCTTGCCACATTGCAGATTAATATATATATATATATATATATATACACACACATACAAATACATATATATATATATATATACATTGACCATAGCTCATAGGAGCAACCGACAAGACCGCCAGCATGTTGATTTGAGAAGTATCGAAAGGGCGGCACAGTCGTGCCATGTTCTTGGGGCAAAGCAAATGCAGTTGGCTCGCAATTTCAGGCTCAGGTACCCGAAGGTTGAGCCCCTGTTATCACCAGCCAGGGGTGTT